AGATCACTTCTCCAAGCATCATGTCTGCTACCTGGACAGTTATCTTTCCACAAGGGCCAACATTCATACCGAAATCCAGCATCGCCTGAGCTCTGTGAGTGCGGCTTTCTCCCAATTGAAGTGCAGAGTGTTTGAGGACCGGAACATTTGCAGGGAAACCAAAATGTTTGTTTAGAAAGCTATTGTACTACCAACTTTACTGCATGCTTGTGAAACATGGACCACTTATAAACACCATCTCCAGCACCTCAAAAGATTCCATCAACGGTGTCTCCGAAAAATTTACACATCACTTGGGAAGACAGGTAAACTAATACCAGTGTACTGGAAGAAGCAAAGATCACCAGTGTCAAAGCAATGATTCTTCAACATCAACTTCATTGAACTGGCCATGTTGTTCGGATGCCTGATTATCGTCTTCCAAAGCAACTACTCTGTGGGATGTGGGTAGCGCTGTGGGTTAAACCACAGAGCCTAGGGCTTGCCGATCAGAAGGTTGGCGGTTTGAATCCCCGTGATGGGGTGAGCTCCCGTTGCTCGGTCCCTGCTCCTGCCAACCTAGCAGTTCGAAAGCATGCCAAAGTGCAAGTAGATAAATATGTACTGCTCCAGCGGGAAGGTAAACAGCGTTTCTGTGCGCTGCTCTGGTTCACCAGAAGCGGCTTAGTCATGCCGGCCACATGACCTGGAAAAACTGTCTGTGGACAAACGTTGGCTCCTTTGGCCAGTAAAGCGAGATGAGCGCCGCAACCCCAGAGTCGTCCGTGACTGGACCTAATGGTCAGGGGTCCCTTTACCTTTTTACTCCCATAGAGACTACCTTACACTGCATTTAAAACCAAAATCGCATTTGGATAGAAACTGTTTCTCAGACGGCTAGTCCTAGTCTTTGTAACCCTGTACCTTCTTCCAGAAGGCAGAAGCTGAAAGAGATAATTTCCGGGGTGCGCACTATCCTGCCTTGGTTCTGTATATTTTATAACAAGTTCTGCACGTCACATTTCCCACACCGGGAGACCGATACAACTCTCTGCCAAGAAAAGTGATGACTATGAACCGTAGCAACTTTTTTTGTTCTAAGATGTTCAAAGCAATCCACTCGGGACTTGTTGGTGCTTGAGTGCGAGACGGATGTATGTCTACTCCAGACTGATCAAAATGATCTTATTCTGGCCAACTTCATTCTGCGTTGAAGCATCCTCTATTCCTCAAAGCCCTAAGCAGTTTCTCCAATTGAAGTTAATTAGGCAATTGAAGTTAATTAGGTGGTTATTTCACATTAAAGGAACAGGCTCTTGCAAACCAGTTTGGCTTGCCATTCATGTTGAGAAATATGTCGTGATGGCGAAGGGTGGAGAGGGGTCAGGAAGAGTGATGTGAATCCACAGATTGGATGTCGGAGGGCACAGCTGGCTAGGAATAACACCTATTGCTAACAAAGTTCCCAACAGGACCTTATGGGGTCAGGTCATTGGTCAGTTCTATTGACTCTGACCAACAGCAGCTCTCCGGAGTATCTGGATTTTGAGAAAACGTCGCGGGTGCAGTGGTAGACCTCAGGGTCTCAAATTTCAGCAGTGTCCTGCGTGACACAACAAAAATGGTACCCCTGGTCTCTCACCTTCTATTTGACATTATAGTTGTGACACCCCCAAGGCTCTGCACCCAGTGGAACCAATCCAGTTGTGCTCTCTTAAATCTGCCTCTGATGGATGTCCGCCACAAAACGGCTGCCATGGCATGTGTGACATAAAACAAAATGGCCAAAAACAAAGATAAGGAAAAGGGACAGGACCAGAAAACAGCATGGGCATCTTCCCCCCTACATCACTTTCCCCATCAATGGGGGGAAAGTCACCTACAGCAGATATCACCACACTTCCTTGCCATCTTTTAAGAATGGACGCAATCCTGTGGAATGCAGACGGGGTGGCGCTGTGGGTTAAACCACTGAGCCTAGGACTTGCCGATCAGAAGGTTGGCGGTTCGAATCCCCACGACGGGGTGAGCTCCCGTTGCTCGGTCTCGGCTCCTGCCAACCTAGCAATTTGGAAGCACATCAAAGTGCAAGTAGATAAATAGGTACCGCTCCGGTGGGAAGGTAAACGGCGTTTCCATGCGCTGCTCTGGTTCGCCAGAAGCGACTTAGTCATGCTGGCCACATGACCTGGAAGCTGTACGCCGGCTCCATCGGCCACTAAAAAGCGAGATGAGCGCCGCAACGCCAGAGTTGGCCACAACTGGACCTAATGGTCAGGGGTCCCTTTACTTAGGACCAATCTTAGTGTATTTTTGGTGTTTGTGGAAGCCGCCCAGAGTGGCTGGGGAAACCCAGCCAGATGGGCGGGGTACAAATAATAAATTATTATTATTATTATTATTATTATTATTATTATTATTATTATTGCATAGGTTAGCCCAGAAATTCCTCTGCAGCTTGTATTTTCCCTTCACAACCCAAATATTCAAAATTCCTATATTTATTAATTTCTATAGCACTGTAACCAGCTGCCAAGATGTATCCTCTCCCTAGCAGGGTGTGGGTCACTTTGGGGTTGAAAGGGGGTGATTTCTGTAGAGAAAGTTGATGAAGAACAACAACCATACAGTGCCAGGTTTAGCGACATCTCTTAGTACTGTACTATGATGAATCAAATGTTCTGAAAGCTACTTCCCACCTTTCTTTTGTCGGCCCTTGAATTGCCTTCCACTATCTGGCCACCTCCATCTGAGCAACTGACAACAATAGCAACACTAGTTCTTCATTGTGCACCAAAAAGTTCTGTTCGTCTTCAGTCAAAGGGCAATGCCAACGTGGCGTCTGGGACCAAAAGCCGGCTGCTTATACCAGAGACTAATTCAAGCATCCAAACCCAGAATTGGTTAACTCTGGTGCATCTCCACCACATGTGAATAAGGGTTCCTCCTTTTCCTCACATCCATGCTAGCAGCTTGGGGGTCCTAATCAAATGAGAAAGCCTCACTGGGGTCCAGCGCCACCACAGAAGCAATGGGTTGGGTATTTTCACCTGTTCCTGCAAGGTCTTACAAGGCAATTAATTTCTTAAAATTAATGCATTTGTCACAGATTCTATAGAACAAGGGTGAAAGTTGGTAACAGTTGTGCAAAGCTTAAGACAGAAGCTGGCTTTGCACAGTGCCACTTGGCTAGTGCCAGTGCTGTCAACAAGAACCATCAGCACTCCAAATCGTTTTGTACTGTTTCTATTTTCTATCAGTGGAGGGCTAACATGGGAAATATGAATGGTTCTATTACATGGGATCTTTGAAAAACCAAAAGGCAGGAAGGCTTTCCAAAGCTTGGCAGAGATATGAGACTGATGTTGGGACCCAGATCCAATTGGCTGGCGTGCCAAGTCTATCTGTGATGGCCTGGGATTCGGATTCGGATGCTGAACCTGAGGGATCCCAGCCTGCAAGGAATTCCCCACCTCCAGAACCCGCTGAGCCGGGGCTGAGGCATGAGCCTGAAGGGTCCTCACCTGTGCTGGATCCTCAGGTGCAGGCTCCAGCTGAGTCTGTTCTGGCTCCTGAGGTGATGGAGGACCCATTGCTTGCAGGGGCTCCACTCTCAGCCCCCTCAGAGGAAGCTGAGGTTGCCTCTGGGTCCGGTAACCCTCCAGCCTCTCCTGAGCTACAGAGGCTCAGGGCAGAGAGGCGGAGGGAACTAAGTTCCTGTAGGAGGAGTGCTCGCCTCCAGGCCAGGAGAGGTGAGTCACCTGAGCATTGGGGCCACCCTGTGCCTGGGGGCAGATAAAAACCAGGCAGCCTCAGTCCCAAGTTGCGGGAGCAACTTCGTTGGTTGTCAGTTTCTGCCTGAACCCTGTCCTGCTATCCTGCCAGAGCTCCTGACCTCACCCGACTACCTGACCTGCATCCAGCTTCAACTTTTATGGACTGCTTCCATACTGCACCTTCGACCTCGGACTGGACTCGGACCACGCCTCTCGTTTAGCCCACGGGACCGGCACACTATCATGGTGAAACTGGGAACAAGATGGGCTTGCTCTCTGCCCAAGGGACCAGCTGCGGTTTCTCTTGTTAAATTATGCCCATCTTCAAGCTGCCTTGTTTCTTGGGAATTGCAAGTCAAGCCAGGCCAGGCACTAACATTTCCCTCCCAGGAGCCATTAAGCATTTCCCCCCCCAAAAAACCGCTTGCCTCCACCGCAAACGCTTTTGCTTAGTGCAGCTATTATAACATCTGCTCAAAACGGGAAATGACGCTCGATCATTACCCAGCAGAAGATCTTTGGGCATGAATTTTTAACAAGCGCTCCTTTCAAGTTCCTGAAAAGGCCCTTCATGAAAATTCAGCAGGCCTCGAACTCTGAGAGGCAGGCAAGGGTCACAGGCTCTGAGCCGATGGTGTCGGGTGGAATTTACTATTCATCGGGGTGTGGCAGGCAATCCTGCCTAGAGGCAGTGGGGAATCTGGGCACAGTGAGGCATTGAGGAGCAAGACATGAGGAAGAAGCTGGGGGGGGGGGAGAGAGAAAGAGAGAGAATGGAGGAAAATGAAAACTAATCTAATGTGGATCACATAGATTATTATTTTTTTAACCTAGAGGGCCTAAAATCCCAAACTCTTCTGTTAGGGCTTTTCCACACCATGCTCTTTCTAAGCATGGTCCGCTCTTTAAAGCTCTGTGTCCGAGCTTTCTTCTGTTCTGGGATTTTCCCCACGGAAACCTGCTCTTTAAAGCTCAGTCAGAGCAAACAATTCAGGAAAACCTGAATTCACGTTTGCTCCGATCGAGTGTTTTCATGGGGAAAGCTCTGTAGCAAAAAAACAAATGCTTGGATCTGTGCCTGGAAAAGGTAAAGGTAAAGGGACCCCTGACCATTAGGTCCAGTCGTGACCGACTCTGGGGTTGTGGCGCTTAGAAAGAGCAGGGCAAAAAAGTCGTAGAAGATTGTGCAGTTGGAAGGGACCAGGAGGGTCATCTAGTCCAACCCTCTGCAATGCAGGAATCTTTTGCCCAATGTGGGGCTTGAACCCACAATCCAGTGATGAAGAACCTTGTGCTGTGCCATCTGAGCTATACCAGGGCCCAGCTGGTAAATGTGGATCAGCCCGTGGTGCTACCATGACTCCAGAACCAACTGTACAAAGTTATATTCCCTCTAATGAAGTGTGAGGGAAATCACCATTGCCCTGATTGACAATTAGTTTTTAAAAACAAAAACAAAAAAACCACAAACCCCCAGGGAGAACACACAGCGCTTAGAGAATTAACCAAAAATAAATAAATAAATGAAAATGAGCAAGGTAGAATTTTTGAGACACCTCAGCAAAAAATAGTTTTCTTCTTCACAAAACCCTTTAAAAGCTTTTATGGGTTGAGGTGGTGTTCAAACTTCAATCGAGGAGCTGAATCGTAAACATCCATGCCAAGTTGCATTGAGATCACACGTGCTCCAGGGTAATATCAGAGTGCAGTGTTTACGTTCTTAATCTCTCCCCTGAGCTGCGATGGTCTGGGGGTAAACTGATGTTCGGGCATGAAACACACAGAACCGAATCCTGGAGAGGAACTAACTGCACATCAATAGATTTGATATCTGCCCCATAAAAAACAGGCGTCGTTTTACTACATCTTTGAAAGGCTTCTCTCTTTGATACGGCTGAACTAGTGTGCAGTCGTGTCTGCACCTTGTTTAATCCCAGTCGCTCACGACTCCAGGGGCAAACAATCTTACAAGCAGAACGTTCATTTTCCCCATCAGCGCTATTGCACTAAAGTGGCACAGGTGGAAGAACACTTAGCCTCTAAATAAGATTTTCAAAAACAACAACCCAAAACATACTTTTCACCATGTTTTAGATCGTGCATTTTAGACAATTATTGCATTGCAAATGTTTTTTCCTACTGTGAAATAGACTTCCGCTTGCATAACGGAACTTTCCCTTCCTCTCCCTGCAGCCAACTGCCCCCCTTTTGCCCTCAGAATCTGCTCAGAGGGTTGGAGGGCCCTCTGGACAGGGGCGGAGGAAGGGGGTGCAGTGGGGGCGGGCCGCCCCGGGTGTCTTCGCTGAAGGGGGTGACATTTGGCAGTTGCGGGTGGGCGGTGCGCCGAATGTCTGCCATCGGCAATTGGCTCCACCCCCCGTGGGCGGCTTGCTCCGCCCCTGGCTGCAGGGTGTGTGCACCGCTCTGTGCACCCAAGCGGCTATCCCACACCTGGGAGGGCACCCTCCGCACCCCACTGCCCTCAGGAGTGCGGGCATATGCTCCACTGCTGCCTCTGGAGCAGATTTCCCCCCCCCCAATACTTTTTATTGCTTTTTTGTAACAACAACAAATAAAATAAATACTCTTGCATTCAAAAATTTGTATGTCTTCTTATTTACCCTGCGCCTTATTGCGCCGGACTTCCTTCCATCTCTTCAACGGTTTTCATGTCTCAAATCTTTTCTTACAGTTTCTTATTTACACTCCATCCACATCACAAGATTTACATTAATCCTGCTACAGTTTTAAATTCTACAGTTACTCCGTATATATTCAACAAATAGTACTCCAATCCTTTAGAACTTTGCTTCTTTGGTTCCAAATCTTATAAGTCAATTTCGCCAATTCTATGTATTCAAACATTTTTGTCTGCCACTCCATTAAAGTTGGGATTTCTTGGGATTTCCATTTCTGAGCCACTAAGATTCTAGCGGTGGTCGTTGCGTACATGAATAGTTTGTAATCTTCCTTTTTAAATTCATCCCCTGTTATCCCTAGCAAAAATGCTTCTGGTTTCTTTGGGAAAGTGTATTTAAATAGTTTTTTTTTCATTTTGTTATATATCATGTCCCAATATTTTTTCATTTTTTCACACGTCCACCACATGTGAAAAAATTCACCGTCTTTTGTTTACATTTCCAACACATTTTATTATTTACTCTATACATTTTTGCTAGTGTAACTGGGGTGATATACCAACGGTACGTCATTTTCATAAGATTTTCTTTTAGAGTGGAGCATGCTGTGAACCTCAAACCTTCTGTCCATAATTTTACCCAATCATCATAATCAATATTATAACCAAAATCAGATTTTGAAGGTGTGAGAGGAGAGGAAGAGGCAGAGCTCTGCATGTTTAGCATTGGGTACAACCCAAAGCAGTGAGGTACAGACACACATAGTCAGTTTGGGCCAGGCTGATGTTCCCTTTCTGAAGTTTACCTGACAGCCACAAAGACAGGACAGATAAGCCGTGTGTGTGCATGCACACATGTGCATATGAGAGAGCTGTGTGTCACTCACCCTCATCGATGTCACAGTTGCGACAGAAGTGGTATTCCTGATATCCACAGCCACATTCTGCAGAGTGCTGATATGGTTGTATATACCGCAAAACACCTGGGAAAGAAAGCACATTTCCCCAGCAACAAAATATTGTGATTCGAGTACAGTTGTACCTTGGAAGTCGGACGGAATCCATTCTGGAAGTCCGTTCAACTTCCAAAACGTTCAGAAACCAAAGCGCGGCTTCTGATTGGCTGCAGGAACCTCCTGCAGTCAATCGGACACCCCCTCGGGCGTTCAGCTTCCAAGAGAGCGTTCAAAAACCAGAACACTCACTTCCGGGTTCCAATCGTTTGGGAGCCAATTTGTTCAGGAGCCAAGGCGTTTGAGATCCAAGGTACGACTGTACTGGGAATATTTCTTGCAAACTGTGAATGAATGTAAATAAACACATCTGTAGGCTGTGGCGGAGGAAAGGGGGCAGATACCCTGGTTGCCATCGCTGAGGGGGTGACAAGAAGGCATCCTGCAGGGGACTCGCCCCACCACCCCTGAGCATGGCAGAGCAAACTGCCACCATCACGCCATCGCAGCCGCATGCAGAAGATCCTCCACTCGTGGCTGCACCCCCGCCACCATCCGTACGGTGCTCGAGGATCCCGCCACCGTTTGAACGGGGTGTGCGCATGCGCAGCACGTAGCGACACACGTGCATGCGCCATATGTAGCAGTTTGCCCCACCCGAGTGGCAGTTCTCCTTTCTTTGCCCCTTCCTGTAGTTAAAAAGGTAAAAGGCCCCTGGACAGTTAAGCCCAGTCAAAGGTGACTATGGGATGCAACGCTCATCTCACTTTTCAGGCCAAGGGAGCCAGCGTTTGTCCACAGATAGCTTTCTGGGTCATGTGGCCAGCAGGACTAAACTGCTAATGGCACAACGGAACATTGTGACGGAAACCAGAGTGCTTGGAAACAACGTTTACCTTCCCGACGCAGTGGTACCTAGTTATCTACTTGCACTGGTATGCTTTCAAACTGCTAGGTTGGCAGAAGCTGGGGCAGAGCAACAGAAGCTCACCCTGTCGTGCGGATTCGAACTGCCGACTTTCCGATTGGCAAGCCCAAGAAGCAGAGTGTTTTGATCACACACCCCACCACACAGCCAGTGAGTAAGACCTCTGTGTTTTTTGTGCGGAAGAAGGGGAAAACCTTTATTACGTGTGCAGAGCACCCTAGAATTCATGTTTTCTTGGAATGCCGAAGAAGCCACTGTCAGCTTTATATATGGAGAAAAGACAGTCAGGTGATTCTTATAGGGAACATGCCTTTATATCAGCAGTACTGTAAAAATGTTTCGGAGACAGGCAGCATGGATGCTGTTAGGAAAACATTCTTTAAGAAACATATAAAAGTTCCTGGAAGCTTTAAAGAGGGTTCCAGAATTTTCTTTAGTGTGTAGGAGAGGCACGCTAGGCTTGATTGGTGTCAGCTGGCGGTGCAAATAAAGGAAGTTGCAGGCTGAAATTTCTGCACAAGGAAAGCACACACACACACACACACACACACACACAGCACGCACACTGACAACAAGGTTGGAAGTAAGACAATGTGTGCTGCTGGTAATGTGAGTTTTGCTGTGTCAGGATTGTTAATTACTGGACTGAGATTATACCGTGCTGGAGAGATAAAGAAGGAATGTAAATAGCTTGTATGTAATAGTAACAGAAATGCTTGTGCAACCAGTCAAGCAATAAAGAAGCTCTTGACTGTGAATTTGAGTATGACCCCTCTTCTTGTCTTCTGCCTCCGGGGAAAACTCTGCTACAAACAGTAAGAAGTGGGTTTACCGAGGTGCCACCACACAAGCAGAAAAGCGCAGCGGAAGTGTGTGGGCGGTAACCTCTATTAGATGCATCCGACTCAGCCAACAGTTCAGAGTAGACCATGGAAGCCAGAATGAATTCTGCGCATACTGCAAGGCCTCTGATGCACCACAGATCTGAGAGATTCCAAATTCTCAGAGTATCACTTAAAAGAATTGGAGTCAATATGGCAACCTACAGCCAAGTGTGAGCGTTCCGAGGCCCTCCAGATGTTGATAGACTCCAACTCCCATCAGCTGCAGCCAGCATGGTCGATGGCCAGAGATGATAGGAGTTGTGCTCCAGCAATATCTGTAGGGCACCATGTTGGCTGCTCTTTCCCTGAAGCATGGGTGCAAAGTGTTATTGCTCCCTCCAGCAGCAAACTCAACCGGTTTGTGCCAACAGCACTTGCAGTTAAGCACAAGGCCACAAAGAAACAAGAGCAGGAAATTCCAGAGTTTGGGTGGGTGGGAATCACCCTGAACAGTCAATACACAGCCCAATAAGAGCTATGCATGTTCAGTACCACAGAATGCTGAATGACTGTTGGGGGAAATTGAATTGTAGCACTGGACTTGATCACGAAGATAATCTAGGGCAGCGGTTCTCAACCTGTGGGTCCCCAGATGTTGTTGGACTACAACTCCCATCATCCCTGAGCTCTGGCCTTGCTAGCCAGGGGTGATGGGAGTTGTAGTTCAACAACATCTGGGGACCCACAGGTTGAGAAAGGCTGATCTAGGGCAATGCAGGAATTTTCCACCCAATGTGGGACTCAAACTCACAGCCCTGAGACTAAGAGTCTCATGCTCTACTGACTGAGCTATCCTAGTCTATGGGAAACTGAGGAGAAGGGAAGGGAGTAACTTGCAGGAGGGCATGGCTGGGTGGACTGGCAAGCACAATGAGCAGAACCATTTTGCACAGCAATGTTTTGTTGCCAGTCCCACCTGCAGGGTTCTGTCCAGGAGGACCCAGTGGGTCACTTCTGTTTTGCCTGCACACATGATATGCACAGCGGAAAAAGAATCATTTTTGATGAAGTCACACAAGGACATGTCAACGGCAACTAATCCAGAATTTGGCAGCCAGGCTGGTGACTGGCCACCGAAACCATATAACACTGGTCCTGAAAGACCTACACTGGCTCCCAATACATTTCCAAGCACAATTCAAAGTGTTGGTGCTGACCTTTAAAGCCCTAAACGGCCTCAGTCCAGTATACCTGAAGGAGCGTCTCCACCCCCATTGTTCAGCTTGGACACTGAGGTCCAGCTCCAAGGGCCTTCTGGTGATTTCCTCACTGTGAGACGTGAGGTTACAGGGAACTAGGCAGAGTGCCTTCTCGGTAGTGGCGCTTGCCCTGTGGAACGCCCTTCTGTCATATGTCAAGGAAATAAACAACTATCTGACTTTTAGAAGACATCTGAAGGCAGCCCTGTTTAGGAAAGTTTTTAATGTTTGATTGCTTTTTAAAATTATTATTAATATTCTGTTGGGAGCCGCCCAGAGTGGTTGGGGAAACCCAGCCAGATGGGTAGGGTATAAATAAATTATTATTATTATTATTATTATTATTATTATTATTATTATTATCTGTTCTAGTGAGCAATTTGCTCTTTTCTCTAAGGTAGACAGAGGCACTATGAGAAAGAGGAGGATGGTGCTGAGCTTTGGCAACATTCTTATGGTGTTAAGAAGTTGTTTGGATGAGCTTTTGGGTATTACTCTTTTAAAAAAGAATCCCAACTCTCCTTTTCTCCATGTGAAGAGACTCCTTGGGTCTTCAAGACCCAGCTCTTCAAAAAACCCGCCTTGGCATCTTCAGGATATGCTTATTAGCCAGGAGGCATAAGAGGAAACACTGAGCCCCTTCTGGGTTTTGAGGATTCACTTAGATCGATTGTCTCATCCATAGCTTGTGAAATCTGGTTGGTGGTCTCAGGCAAGGAGTTGTGGGTTTGCGGAAAAGGAAGTCAACATGTGGCCTTTTCACTCATTCAGTGGCTTCCATAATCTCCAGCACAAGAGTTCGAGGTCCGGTCATGATGAGGCTGCTAATGGTCTGATAGTCCAGATGTAAGACATACATCCCGTTCACAGAATAGACAAACTGGCAGACCTAAAGGGAGGGGAAAGGAGAAGTTACACTACATTTTTCTTAAAAGTGAATTTTTAGGGAATCTCAATCATGTGGAGCACCTGCGGGAGTGTCCAGAGCTGTGAAAGGCCAGGTGGGTGGGGTAATAATAGTAGTAGCAGTAGTAATAATAATAATAATAATAATAATAATAATAATAGAAGAAGAAGAAGAAGAATCATTTCACAAAAAGCAGGGAGATTTCTCAGGGAGATTTCATACTTCTCCGGAGAAGCCACCAAATTCTGTCAGAAGTGAAATTCAATGAAAATTCAGAAAGTCTTGTGCAAGCAAAATCTTATACACATACCTAATTTGATAGAAGCAGTCTTTTGAGAAACTCTTTAGTTCCAAAAAACACACACAGACCACCAAAGTTTGCATTTGTATAAGCCACTCCCTTGCTTCTTCCTCCTTTCTCCAAATAAAATAATAATAATAATAATAATAATAATAAAGCTTCTAAGCAGCAGAGCCAACAGCTCCTCTCATTCCAAAGGAGCTGATCCTTAAGGAGGAGCTCAAAACCCATTTATTTTTGGTTCAGTGCTCTCAGGTGGCACCCATCGCCTTTCGTGCTCGAGTAGACAGAGAGGATTTGCTTGTCGAATTCACTCAGCTCCTTTTCCCGCGATCGGCCGACAACTCATCCATCAGCTTCCAGGTGCTGCAACGAGGCTCCTTCCACCCAGCTTTGCACAACAGCCAAAGTATATCAAATATAGGCAAGCTTTCAGTTTCCATTCTGACTAGTGCTGGTCCAAAAGTTCTCAGAAGAGCTTTCAGCCAAATGAATGGGAGGTTGTGGGGTTGACGGCTGCATGTCCTGAAGACTGGCTTCTGGGGAGCACGACGAGGCATTCAGGTCCTGCTGAGGGGCTTCCTATAGAGTCCTATAGAATTGTTGAGTTGGAAGGGACCCTGAGAAACATCTCATCCAAGCCCCTGCAATGCAGGAAAATGCAGCTGTCCCGTATGGGGATCAAACCTGCAACCTTGGTGTTACAGCACCACACTCTAAAACTGAGCTACCCAGGCTGATGTATAGGGATCTGGTTGACTAGATAAGACTGGTACCTTCATGCCAGCAGCTGCAGCCGGTCCTCCTGGATCCACAGCCTGGATGTGGCATGGCTGACCTCCACGGACCACAAATCCCCAGCCAACTGCGTCACCCACAATCTGCAAAGAAAGAGGGACAGCATTTGCAATTGTTCTCTTTTTTTTTACACCCCAGTGTTGCAAAAATGCTCAGCCTTGGGCAAAAGCAAAGGTGACAGTCTTCTTCCTTTTCCTTTTACAAGGCTAAAACTCCACCATTAGGCAGTTTGGTGGGAAAGAGGCAGCAGGGGACACCAAGTCAACAAGCCCCCATCTCACACCTCCTGATGTGTGAGACTTCCGGTTTCTGAATAAATATGGTCAAAATATGTGGAAGAGTCCTGCTACCCCTTACAGATCTGTAACACAGGACCCGTCAAGGAAAACACAAATGAATGCAGCAGGTCCAGATCTATGCACCAAGTTGGTTAAGTTGAAATTAAAGTTGTATGTATAATGGATTCAAACAAGTGAATAAAAGGAAAAGGGACCCCTGACTGTTAGGGCCAGTCATGGCCGACTCTGGGGTGCGGCGCTCATCTCGCTGGATTGGCCGAGGGAGCTGGCGTACAGCTTCTGGGTCATGTGGCCAGCATGACTAAGCCGCTTCTGGCGAACCAGAGCAGCGCAAGGAAACGCCATTTACCTTCCCGCCGGAGTGGTACCTATTGATCTACTTGCACTTTGACGTGCTTTTGAACTGCTAGGTTGGCAGGAACAGGGACCAAGCAATGGGAGCTCACCCCATCACAGGGATTCGAACCGCCGACCTTCTGATCGGCAAGTCCTAGGCTCTGTGGTTTAACCCACAGCGCCACCCGCGTCCGAAAACAAGTGAATAGAAATGGTCAATTGCATTAAAAATAAAAAGATGAGCAAGACTGCCTGGTTCTTGCTCTTGAGTGAACACAGAGCTAGTCATTTTAGACTGATGTGGCAGAAGTCAACATCCCATTAAACTGGTTTCTGAACTCCTCCGACTTTGCACACATGTGTCCAAGGACAGAAGCTCAAATTAGAAGCGTATTGGAGGGGAGGGGGAGAAAAAGGCCATCTCTCAAAGGGCTTCGCCTGACTGAAACAAGCAAATGAAAAAACAACAACAAACAGGTGGTACAGGAAGGAGAGGAAACTAACCATGAAAACGACAAAAAGATGTACCCAAAAGACTCGGGGAGTTGAAGGACAGGGCAAGTTCAGAAGGGGAGAAATGGCACGCCAGGGAGAGAAAAGAATGTCCTTCCTAGCCAGTTTGAAAATAAAAAAAATCAAACGCCACATTCTGATGGCTCAGTGACAGAGCGCACGTTTTGCCTGCGAAAGGTCCCGGGTCCAAACTCTGGCATCTAAAGATGAGGGAGCAGAGGTGATGGGAAAGACTCTGGAGATCTGCTACCGAGCAGATTACACAAACATGGGCCCAACGTCTATGGCAGCTTCACATGACCTGCCCCGTGACCTTTCCACTCTCCATCTCGCCCCCTTTGCAGAGTGACGCAAGGAAACTCTGATGCCGCTTAATCCAATGAATGCAGCTGCAAGGAGTCAAAACAGTCGCTTCTTTTTGCAGTGGACAGATGCACCCTCCCCACATCATATCCCCAAAACTGCACATTCTCTTCCTACATCAGACTCCTTGCTTTCAAAAGAGCGATCAGCTGCTATACTTCATAGCACCTTCTTCTGACCTGCAGGAAAATACGGCAAAACCCAACCCAGAAATGCACATTAAGTAGGACCGCCATACATCTGAAAATTCCTGGACGTGGCCGGGATTCGTCTGTCGAAAATGGCATCCAGGCAAAATTTTTGAAAAGTGGCTAAAATGTCTGGGGAAATCCGGGCATATAGCAGCCCAAATGAGAAGTGTTGTGGGGGTTTTTTCGGGGGGGGGGGCTATTTTCCTAAACAATTGGCAAAAATCTTCATTTTTGTTTTGCCCCCAAAAGCTCAACCACTATTGTGGCCAGATTTTCACTTTTTGAAATATGCCAACCCTAACAAAAATGGGGAAACAATAAAACAGTGGAAGTTATAAGAACAACTTGGCCACGATAAGGAAATTTTCCCCATGGTATGACTATTTTCCACCTACCCATTTCAACTCTCTGGCACTCTATCTGCATAACCGAGCAATTCCAAAATACAGACGTGCTTTTACTCTTGCAAGATTGAATGTATTGCCCTTGGCTGTACTTGAGGGATGATTCCAACAGATTCCACACGAAAAACGCTTATGTCCCTGTGGAGATGGCAGTACCGAATCGGTGGCACATGCCCTTCTGGCCTGCACTCTTTATAAAGACTTGAGGAATGATGTTATCACTCCTCTTTTATTGTCCATTATGGGTCGCCCAGCCACTGCCAGTGTCCTTTCTCTTGGCAGATGAGCAGGTGACAGCAAAGCTTGCAGGGATTTTAGCTGGGGCAATTAGAGTAAGATCCACTATATGACTATTGATTCAAAACCCTAAAATGTATTTTATGGAATTGACTTTTTATTTTTTTAATTTTTGTATATCATATTGTTGTTTTATTATGGTCGACAGCTGATGCAAATAAAGATTCATTCATTCATGGAAGTTATAATTAAAGCCCAGAGGCAAATTAGATGTGTAAGATTTCTACACACACAAACACACACACTCCAGTTACTCCAGAGCAGCCCCAATGGTTCCAACTTGAACACACCAGGATTGCTGTGTTGCATCATTTAAGGGTACTTCACCTTGGGACTTGGACTATTTTGTGGGAGAGATGCTAACACATCGTGCAACTTTAGGCTTGCCCAGTTAAAGGGCTCTGTACTGTAACAAGGAGGATTTAGCAATAATCCCAATGTAACATTCTGATGACCGGCTAACAAGCTTACCGTCAGCGTTTTCTTGATGTACGGTGCCCCAGGGGTCAGAAGCTCCTCATTGGTGACAGGCCTCTTTAATACTTGCATGGAGGGGAGGAAAAGAAAAGTGACAGGTCTTACCTAAAGGTCAATTGTTCAAAAAAAGAGTAACATAGCAAAGTGAAAGGGGAAGTGAACCAGGAATGTTAACCAGATAGGACAGAGCTTATTTTTCTTCTTCTTCTGTGTGCAGGTGGTTCTCAGTGGGGGGAAAACCCACACACAGAAATGCGCAACTGAGTCAAGGTCCAAAACAATTCAAGGAAGTACAAACAGATCTCAGCAAGGACCAACATCAGCCTCGCCAATGTTTTGCTTTGAAAAAATCAAATGCAATGCAAAATGCTTCGTGTGGACAGCTCTTTGGAAGTGGAACGAAGGGGATTCACTGCAGCTGTGGTGCTTGCAGGCTTGTTTCTGTTCGTTTGCTGGTCAGTGTGGTGGGCTTGGTGTGATAGATAGGACTCTCTTGTGACGTGGAGGAGCAGATAAGGAAGAAAACCAAAATGGAAAAGGGGATAGAAGAAGAAAGGTTTGGATTTGATATCCCACTTTGTCACTACCCTAAGACGTCTCAAAATGGCCAACAATCTCCTTTCCCTTCCTCCCCCACAACAAACACCCTGTGAGGTGAGTGGGGCTGAGAGAAGTGTAACTAGCCCAAGGTCACCCAGCAGCTGCATGTGGAGGAGCGGGGAAGCGAACCCGGTTCACCAGATTACGAGTCCACTGCTCTTAACCACTACACCACACTGGCTCTGTGGGTGTGTGGGTGCTTGCTAGGGTTGCCATATGCCCGGGAAAACCTGGACACATTCTCTTTTAGGGGGGCAACATGCCCATCCAGGCAGATTTTTACATTTTAAAGTAAATGCCTGGTTTTTTTGGGGGGGGGTCCGTTGTTGTTGTTGTGTTTCCCCCCCAGCTTTCCCCAGCTCGGGCTGTCCTATTTTTTGTTCTTCAATACATGGCAAACCTAGCTAGCACATTTTAGAGCCCCAATGCAAAAAATATTTGTTTGGAATTGAACCCTTAAATTCTTAGGATTATGAGCAATATTCTAGGCTCTGCGGCATAATGATGACCAGAGTGGCTGGGGCAACCCAGTCAGATGGGCAGCATATTATTATTATTATTATTATTATTATTATTATTATTAGCATTCCTCACCAGATTTGGGGTTGCATTCCACAGCTGGCAGGAACCCCAAACTCGGGGAGAGATTGAAATAGGGGTTGGATCCCCCAGCCAGTGAGGTGACGCTGCTCCTTCGAACTGCTGAGACTGTTTTGATTTCCTTATTGGGTTGAACTGAAAGAGACAAAGGGAAGTTTAGAGCTGGCTGAGGCTGGTGGAGCAGTGCCCCGCTGGGGCTAATAGACCAGCCCCTGCTGCTACAAACCGTACCCTCCCAGACCCAGCAGCAGGCCGGCCTAGGCCCCCACAACAGCACCCAGAGTGCTCCCCACAATTGCCACCATCACCCACAGTTACCAACCAGACAAGAAGCTGCAGCTGTTCTGCTCAGGGTTGAGCTTGCGGAGGCAGAAGGGGCTGTCGGGACTGTCCGAAAGGGCCCTGGAGGAGTTCTCGCTGAGCAGCTCCGCGAGACGTCTCCTCCGGCGGAAATTGATGCGGAACTGATAGAGGAGGTTGCCGTCATAGAAGTGGTGCCGGCCGGCCACTGAGGAAAGAATGGGTGTGTGGGGAGGAGCAGATTGAGGCCTGTGGTTCTTCCCATCCCACCCCCAAGAACGTGGCAGAGATAGGATTCAGCAGTCTTCCATCAGCAACCTGGGGTTTGGTGACAATTGTTCTCAGCTCTCTCTCTCTCTCTCTCTCTCTCACACACACACACACACACACACACACAGACTGCAATAGTTCCTAGTCCATGTCTGGGGACAATCTGAAGTACTTGTGTTTACATTCAGGGTTTGGGGTATCCAGATGGAATGCCTGCCTCCACATCTGCATGCCCAGAAGTTTATGTTCACAGCATCTCTGTCAGGTGCCTCAACCATCTGAGGTGAGGTGTGTATGTGTAAGAGAGAGATGGGCTTCTAGGTGGTGGCACCCTCATAATAGAATTTTCTCCCCACAATGGTTTGCTTGGTGCTGACTTTGTCATCTGTTTGGTATCAAGAGGACCCCTAATTTCCCCAGACCATGTTTGATTGTGATGGCCTGGGATTCGGACTCGGAGGCTGAACCTGAGGAATCCCAGCCTGCACAGGAGTCCCCGCCTCCAGAACCAGCTGAGCCGGGGCTGGGGCTTGAGCCTGAAGGGTCCTCACCTGTGCTGGATCCCCAGGTGCAGGCACCAGCTGAGTCTGCTCTGGCTCCTGAGGGGATGGAGGACCCATTGCCTGCAGGTGCTCCACTCTCAGCCCCATCAGGGGAAGAGGAGGTTGCCTCTGGGCAACCCTCCAGCCTCTCCTGAGCTGCAGAGGCTCAGGGCAGAGAGGCGGAGGGAACTAAGTTCCCGCAGGAGGAGTGCTCGCCTCCAGGCCAGGAGAGGCGAGTCACCTGTGGACCGGGGTCGCCCTATGCCTCGGGGCAGATAAAAGCCAGCCAGCCCCAGTCCCAACTTGCGGGAGCAACATTATAGAATCATAGAATCATAGAGTTGGAAGAGACCACAAGGGCCATCGAGTCCAACCCCCTGCCAAGCAGGAAACACCATCAGAGCACTCCTGACATATGGTTGTCAAGCCTCTGCTTAAAGACCTCCAAAGAAGGAGACTCCACCACACTCCTTGGCAGCAAATTCCACTGTCAAACAGCTCTTACTGTCAGGAAGTTCTTCCTAATGTTTAGGTGGAATCTTCTTTCTTGTAGTTTGGATCCATTGCTCCGTGTCCGCTTCTCTGGAGCAGCAGAAAACAACCTTTCTCCCTCCTCTATGTGACATCCTTTTATATATTTGAACATGGCTATCATATCACCCCTTAACCTCCTCTTCTCCAGGCTAAACATGCCCAGCTCTCTTAGCCGTTCCTCATAAGGCATCGTTTCCAGGCCTTTGACCATTTTGGTTGCCCTCCTCTGGACATGTTCCAGTTTGTCAATGTCCTTCTGGAACTGTGGTGCCCAGAACTGGACACAGTACTCCAGGTGAGGTCTGACCAGAGCAGAATACAGTGGCACTATTACTTCCCTTGATCTAGATGCTATACTCCTATCGATGCAGCCCAGAATTGCATTGGCTTTTTTAGCTGCCGCGTCACACTGTTGGCTCATGTCAAGTTTGTGGTCAGCCAAGACATTGTTGGTAGCCTGTTCCTGCCTGCACCCTGTCCCGCTCTTCCGCCAGAGTTCCTGACCCCACCCGACTCCCTGCCTTGGACCCCATTTCAGCTGTGACAGACAGCCTCCATACCACACCCTCGACCTCAGACTGGACTCGGACCATGCTGCACGGTTAACCCTCGGGACCAGCACATTCATGCTGCTTTAATTTGCTCTTAGTTCCCAGTTGTTGAAGCAATGATTCTTCAACAACAACTTCGTTGGACTGGTTGTTCAGATGCCTGATTATCATCTTCCAAACCAACTACTCTATTCCGAATTTAAAAATGGAAAGTGTAATGCTGGTGGTCAACAAAAGAAGTTTAAAGACTCTCTCAAGGCAAATCTTTAAAAATGTAGTATAAACACCGACAATTGGGAAACAATGGCCTGCGAGCGCCCCAATTGGAGGACAGCCTTTACTAAAGGTGTCATGGGTTTTGAAGATGCTCAAACTCAGGACGAAAGGCAGAAATGTGCTAAGAGGAAGGCACGCTTGGCAAATCCACACTGTGATCAACTCCCGTCCAGAAACCAATGTCCCCACTGTGGAAGGATGTGTGGATCCAGAATTGGCTCCTCACTTTTAAAACTGTGTCCATGGAAGACAATCTTACTCGGCTACGAGAGATCGCCAAAGAAGAAGAAGTTCCTAATTGCACATTTTTAAAATCAATTCTAACTTTGTGCTTTTATGTGCTTGCAAAGCTCCCTTAGAAAAAAATGTTTCTGATAAGAAGTCTGGAACTTAACAAAGAATGGAAGATAACACTGCTTTTCTTCCTTTTCTTAGCTACACTCTTTTGCACTCTGCCCCTTCTCTAGTCTTTGGTTCCTGTTGGCCATGCTGTCTTCCAGTTTCTAGCCAAGAGCCAGGATAGTTCCCCTTCCCCCTCCCAACTCCTACTCATCTGACAGCTGCTGCATTTCCAGTCTTTCCGCCCAACTTCTTATTCCTTCCTTCCATCTCTCACAGCCTCCCGTTGCCACTGATACCTTCAATGTATAGGGGAAGAAGCTCAATTTGGCCACAAATCCTGCTTTGTATTCCTGATTCCTGTATTCCTCTTGTTCTAAGAGGAGGCTGGAGATCTTCCACTGGGTGTATCCCACCATGTGTGTTGCTTTGGCCAAGTTAGAGAGTGTTAGCTTCTAGGCCAGCCTTTCTCAACCTGTGGTTCCCCAGATGTTGTTGGACTACAACTCCCATCACCCCTAGCTAGCAAGGCCAGAGCTCAGGGATGATGGGAGTTGTAGTCCAACAACATCTGGGGACCCACAAGTTGAGAGCCACTGTTCTAGGCGATATGCTCTAGCCATTACACCACACTGCTCTTTGGCACTTCTGGCTATCCTAGGCATATCCTTTGCCCTCCCTTTTCTGCAATCTCCTTCTTCATACCATGCTGGATAATCCCATGTTCAAGGAGGACTTGGCAAAGCTCAGCGGCTTCTTTCCGGTTTGCTGCCTCTCCTTCCTGGACCAACCAGTCGATCATTTCACAGGCCAGAAAAGTCCTTTGGTACTTCACTGAGTTCTCCTCTCTGACTTTGAGGATCGAGTCCTCTACGCTGATCAGCCTAGGATCAAGGAAGCACATGGCAAAGAAACAAGGTGAGCAGATCAGCATATGCAGCCATTGCCATTTTAACGCTTGCTAATATTGTGTATTTTAATGAGGGTGAAAGAAGAGTGCAAAATAAGGTCTGAAGCACAACATCAAAAAAGCTAAGATCATGGCCACTGGTCCCATCACCTCCTGGCACATAGAAGGGGAAGAAATGGAGGCAGTGAGAGATTTTACTTTCTTGGGCTCCATGATCACTGCAGATGGTGACAGCAGTCACGAAATTAAAAGACACCTGCTTCTTGGGAGAAAAGCAATGACCAACCTAGACAGCATCTTAAAAAGCAGAGACATCACCTTGCCGACAAAGGTCCATATAGTAAAAGCTATGGTTTTCCCAGTAGTGATGTATGGAAGTGAGAGCTGGATCATAAAGAAGGCTGATTGCCGAAGAATGGATGCTTTTGAATTATGGTGCTGGAGGAGACTCTTGAGAGTCCCATGGACTGCAAGAAGACCAAACCTCTCCATTCCGAAGGAAATCTGCCCTGAGTGCTCACTGGAAGGACAGATCCTGAAGCTGAGGCTCAAATACTTTGGCCACCTAATGAGAAGAAAAGACTCCCTGGAAAAGACCCTGATGTTGGGAAAGATGGAGGGCACAAGGAGAAGGGGACGACAGAGGACAAGATGGTTGGATAGTGTTCTCGAAGCATGAGTTTGAACAAACTGCGGGAGGCAGTGGAAGACAGGAGTGCCTGGCGTGCTCTGGTCCATGGGGTCACAAAGAGTCGGACACGACTAAACGACTAAACAACAATATTGCATAGGGTTGTTAAACATCCAAGCCATTCATTTCTCAAAGATAAATGTGCTGGGAGTCACCTTTATCTAGAAGCGGAAGCAGAGTCCAGAGGCACAGGAGCTTGTCACAGTTACCCAGCAATGGAAGCCACTTTGCACATGCTCAGAGGCGAGGCTGCTCAGCATTAAGTCATACAAGATGGTTTTAAAAGAGGATTATACCAGTGGGTAGCTCAATTGGCTACAGCATGGTGCTGGTAACACCAAGGTTGCAGGTTCAATCCCTGTATTTGGCAGCTGCATGTCCCTGCCTTGCAGGGGTTGGGATAGATGACCCTCAGGGTCCCTTCCAACTGTACAATTCTATGATGCTAAGTTCTTGGAAGAAACAGTGGCTGATAGCTACTAGTCATGGTGGATATGTTCTGCCTCCATAGCTGCAGGGAGCAATGCTTCTGAATACAGTTGCTGGAAGCCATAGGAGGCGAGAGCTCTCTCTTGCTTGAATTCTGCTTGTGGGTTTCCTATAGGTTAAAAAAAAAAAGGTAAAGGACCCCCAGACAGTTAAGTCCAGTCAAAGGCGTCTATGGGGTTGTGGCGCTCATCTCGCTTTCAGGCCAAGGGAGCCGGTGTTTGTCCACAGACAGCTTTCCGGGTCATGTGGCCAGGAGGACTAAACCGCTTCTGCCGCAACGGGACACCGTGACGGAAACCAGAGTGCACAGAAACAGCATTTACCTTCCCGCCTCAGCAGTACCTATTTATCTACTTGCACTGGCATGCTTTCGAACTGCTAGGTTGGCAGAAGTTGGGATAGAGCAACCGGAGCTCACCCCATCGTGGGGATTCGAACCGCTGACCTTCTGATTGGCAAGCCCAAGAGGCTCAGTGGTTTAGACCACAGTGCCACCCACATCCTGAGTCTCCTACAAGGATTTTTTTGGCCACTGTGAGAACTGGATGCTGGACTAGATTGGCTGTTGGCTCCAATGGGCTCTTCTTATGTTCTTACGTTATGTCTGTAAGAGTGCAGCCGACATAACATAAGAAGGCATTTGAAACATAATATAAGAAGACATTTGAAACAGATCTCCTGGCTGTCTCCTCTTCTGTCTCATTCTGTCTCATTCTGATCACAGGAATCAGCCATAAGCACTCTCCTGTCGGGCATAATCCATACGTCAAAAAGATTAAAGGTGAAATTCAATCTCTACTCGTACGATTTATGAAATCAAGCTGTTGACAAACACTCTCCATCTCTGAAGAGGGAGGTGGCAGAAATTCTGATGGGCCTGTAATCACCGATTCTCGACAAGCGCTTGAAAATTCAGTCTCCAGCGCCACCAGTTTGAGCCTTTTTTAGCTGCAATAAACCTTTTTGTGTGCAGAAGAACTTAAATACCCACATAACCACAAGAGGGCGTGCTGAGCCTATGGAATATAACTAACGGCTGATTATTCTCCCAAACTGCAGCGAAACAAAGCGTCTGCTCAGCTCTAGACTGTGGCTGTTTTATGGGAAGCATCCAAGCACAGACTGGGAATTTAGGTCTGTGCAATTAAAGTGGATTAAAGCACCCTGCCACCTTGTCACAACAAATCCATTTTTCCTTTTTAAATATGTGCTCTGTGAGGTTATGAATGTGACGGGGAATAGCTCTGAACGGTATGGGATGGAGGAATAATGAATGGAATGATGTATTTGCACAAGCAAATCAGGAGAAATGCTCATTGCAGTATAATCTCCCTGCAGGCAACTCAGAGGGAATGCTAAATAAAAACGGACATTCAGCATTCTGATGCGGAGGTTATTGCATTAGTTTTCCTTATTATAAGGCTAGCCACTATTACCTCAAATTCTCACATTCCTTTTACACTGCAATAAGGCACTGTGATATACTGCCATGCTGTGCTCATTTTTGATTGGCGGGAGAGAACTGCACGCCGAAAGCACCCGAAATGTTGCCGTGCAAAATTAGAGCAAAACTTCTGCGACTTTCTGGGCTAAGGAGTTTGCAAACGGCTTTTCCTCCAGAAGCAAAGGACATGGAAAAGTGTGCTAAGCTTCTTCCGGGTTCCACTAGTTTTCCAGAAGTTGCTCTTATGTTGCATGAATGATCACGCGAAACTTGGAAATTATCAGGTAAGGAAACATTGTGAAAATAAAGTGCTGTCTGAAGGCAGCCAGAGTCTAACCTTTGCTTTGTGCAAGCGAATCAGGATGAATGCCCAATAAGCAGGCAGGAAGTTGGGGGCCTTTATTCAAAGAAACAAGGTAGCTCAGGAGGCTAGGCCTAGAAAACACAGCAACTCTTCTTGGTAGAACTTAACCCTACGAAGATTCACAGATGCCTAAATCTCCTTCTCCCCTGGGTCCTTCCCAAGCAATCTGAGACTCTGTCATTGAGCAGCACTTTTCATACTTCTTCTGGTTCTGAGAGACCGGGGGTGGGGGGAGCTTGTTGCAGTGCAGAAAGCAGTCTATAGATATTGGAATTAATTGATTAAAATATTGGTATAGACTGGGGGACACTCGCCCCCCCAAAAAAAAAACCCCTAGAAATGAATAAACACTAGGATTTTTATTAACTGGGATATGGATTAAAGTACAAGCTGCAGAGATGTGCCAGGCAGGGAATTCCTGGGCTGGCTTACACAAACCAACCTGCCTGGCATAGTGAAGAGCAAACCTGTTAACGTGGCAAAAGGTTTGATGGGCCATCGGGAGGAAATATTTGGGCCTGGGGATTGAGATGTTACCAACGTGATGGGGTGTATGGTTGAGGGGAGAGGGAAAGGGTTTCTGGGAGGAAGAAGCAGGAAGAAGAGTTGAGATGGCTGGGGAAACCAAGCCAGATGGGCAGGAAACAAACAAACAAACAAATAAAATTATTATTATTATTATTATTATTATTATTATTATTACAGTGGTGCCTCGCAAGACGAAATTAATCCGTTCCGCGAGTCTCTTCGTCTTGCGGTTTTTTCGTCTTGCAAAGCACGGCTATTAGCGGCTTAGCGGCTATTAGCGGCTTAGCGGCTATTAATGGCTTAGCGGCTTAGCGGCTATTAACGGCTTAGCGGCTTTAAGAAAAAGGAAACAAACTCGCAAGAACTCGCAAGACGTTTTGTCTTGCGAAGCAATCCCATAGGGAAATTTGTCTTGCGGAACGACTCAAAAAACGCAAAACCCTTTCGTCTAGCGAGTTTTTCATCTTGCGAGGCATTCGTCTTGCGGAGCACCACTGTATTATTATATCCATCTTTAGGGGAGGCTGGCTGCAGGGCTGGCTATAGAAATGCCTTGGGCTCCAGGGTTGCACTGCTATGGAGAATAATAATAATAATAATAATAATAATAATAATAATAATAAATTATTTCTACCCCACCCATCTCTGGGCGGCTTCCAACAAAAGGTTAAAAATACAAGATCCTCTTGAAAGGACTATACTCAGTAAGATCTGAGCTCCCTCCATGTAGACTGAAGGTGTAAAGTAAAGGTAAAGGGACCCCTGACCATTAGGTCCAGTCATGACTGACTCTGGGGTTGCGGCGCTCATCTTGCTTTATTGGCCGAGGGAGCTGACGTACAGCTTCCGGGTCATGTGGCCAGCATGACTAAGCCGCATCTGGCTTAAATAAACCATATTTCTTAAAGCCATAACAGTCTCTGCCGCAATTTCAGTTCTGCAAAGGAGCACAGACCCTGTGTGAGGGCCTGAGATCCCACGGTGCCACCACTTGCAGAGAGAGGGGCAGGCACCTGACTCATAGCTGCCAACTTTTCCCTTTTCTTGCGAGGAATCCTATTCGGAATAAGGGAATTTCTCTTTAAAAAAGGGAAATGTTGACAGCTATGACCTGACTTTTGTAACAATATGAAAACTCCGAACAAGTGGCAGGCAGAGAAACAGTGAGGGCACCCTGGAGAGCATGAACAGCAAAGGAAGATAACAGACTGTACAGTGGTACCTCGGGTTAAGTACTTAATTCGTTCCGGAGGTCCGTACTTAACTTGAAACTGTTCTTAACCTGAAGAACCACTTTAGCTAATGGGGCCTCCTGCTGCTGCTGCGCCGCTGGAGCACAATTTCTGTTCTCATCCTGAAGCAAAGTTCTTAACCTGAAGCACTATTTCTGGGTTCTCAGAGTCTGTAACCTGAAGCGTATGTAACCTGAGGTACCACTGTACTGCCAAAAAGCCTTATGCCCCGTGACCCTGGACAAAGGGACTCCACATACGTCTCATAGAGGCTCTGTCCCCTCATGAACACCTTCACGTCTTTGTTGAGAGGAAAGGTCCCGTCGTCCTTGCGGAAGCGATATAGCAGCTTGGCGTCCTTGTAGTCGAAATGCTCATCGCACACTGAAAGGAGTTCAAGGCAAAGATCAGCAACCTCTGACATGTAATTTACGTTTTCTGTCCAAGCCTATGAAGGCTAGCATAACACAGATGGGGGAAAAAACCTCAAGGTTACTATGAAACATTTCTGCCCTTCGCTTCTTTGCAAAATCAGGTTTGCCACCAACTATCTGTAGCCAAATATCGCCACTTCCCGTGTTGAAAGGCCAGATCATATTGAATATTGCAAAAGCCAACTCCTAGAGGAAGGGAGCCCCGCAGAACTGGACCCAATAAAGAGAGATGCCCAGTGTCCTATCAGCCAAGGTGGTCAAGGCATTGGTCCTCTGGGGAAACCACATTTTACAGGTATGGACCAACTGCAGCGTGTCCAGAGGATGCTGCCCAGAATAGTGAGGGGTTTCAGAAATCAAGTCCTAGAATCATAGAATTGTGGAGTTGGAAGGTACCCCAAACTTCATCTAGTCCAGCCCCCTGAAATGCAGGAATATCAGCTAAAGCAGCCATGACAAATGGCCACCCAACCTCTGCTTTAAAACCTCCAATGTAGGAGAGTCCCAGTGAAGTCCATTCCATTGTCAAACCGCTCTGTCAGAAAACTCTTCCTGATGTTGAGCCGGAATCTCCTTTCTTGTAACTTGAATCTATTAGTTTGAGTCCTATCCTCCAGAGCAGGAGAAAAGATGCTTTCTCCTTCTTCCACGTGACAGCCCTTGAGATATTGGAAGATGAAATGTTTCAGAAAGAATAACCTTGTGAAGTGAAAGGGTAAGAAAGAGGGATTTATATCTAGATGCTAGGATAGAGATGATAAGGAAAACAGGAAGACACAATGAGAGATAAAGGAGGTTCTGTGGGATTGGTGGTAGTCAATGTTTGTTTTTCTTTTTAGTGTTTACATTATTAACTTGTAAGATATGGATTTTTTGTGTGTGTTTTTGAATGTTGGTTTTTGTGTTTTGTGTATTGTTATTTTTCGATATTTTTCGTGTTGTTGTTGTGTGGAAAATACTTGTTATGTACTGAAGTTCTCACCCTGGGCCAGCAGGTGGATACTGTAGATAGTTTTCACTCAGGTCCACATATGCAAATCAGGGATTGAAAGTGACGTTCAGTGATTGGATAGTTACGGAAAGTGGTTACTGTTGCGTTGTAGTGGAGCTCTATATAACCAGGCTGGCTGAACCCCATTTAGTTCAGTTCTGTTCTGGCTTGTGAATAAACAAGAGCTGTTTGAAGAATCACTGTGTTGTCTGATATGTTCACCCACAACTTAACAATACTAATAAAATTTATAATAAATTGGGGGGGAAAGGAAATAAATAAAGGTTTGGTAACCTTAAAAGAAAAAAGAAATGTTTCAAAAAGCTGAGGAAGCTTACCCAGGAGAAGAAGACAGGACTGGAACCACTGCATGCAAACTGCTGGAAAGGAGATTTTTTGGTGGAATGACAGGATAAAGTTTTGAATGGCAAGAGCTGCTTGATGTTGGAACAGACAGCCGTGGGAGGTGATGAGCTCTCCATCGCTGGAGGTCTTTAAGCCGAGGCAGGGCCCAATTGTACTGCCTCTCAGGAGCCATAAATTTGTGCCCTAAAATAGTTAAGGTTCCATGCAATTTAGATAACGTTTGGTTCTATTTCTTCATAAAAGTATTTCCACACCACGGTATAAAATATCAAACACTATGGACCACAATGCAAATACCGTATTTTTCGCTCTATAAGACGCACCAGACCATAAGACGCACCTAGTTTTTGGAGGAGGAAAACAAGGGAAAAAAATATTCTGAATCTCAGAAGCCAGAACAGCAAGAGGGATTGCTATGCAGTGAAAGCAGCGATCCCTCTTGCTGTTCTGGCTTCTGGGATAGCTGCGCAGCCTGCATTCGCTCCATAAGACGCACACACATTTCCCCTTACTTTTTAGGAGGGAAAAGTTAGTCTTATAGAGCAAAAAATACGGTAATTATGAAAGTGATCGTTTTACTGAATGCACCTGTCACAAAACTTTAGTGTACACAGAATTGTGTGCTGTTACACCTGTAATCAAATTGAGTATTTAGATTAATTCTCTTGCAAGGAGTGGGAATAGATGGTGTGTGGTCCACATTTCTACCGGGAAACAATGATTAAGATCAAGCACATTCCATTAAGGTGATTACTGCCCCTTACTTACAGGCAGGCTCAAAAGAAAATGACTCTGCCTGGCCAATCAAAATGACACAACTCAAGAAAAGCCCTTGTGAGCTAAGCAAAGGATAGTCAAACACAGCAAAAAACGACAGCCTACCATTGCACATTTTGCAGGGGATTATCATGGTGTGATGACGTCACCGATAAGCAGGCCAAAAGGTTCTGTTTCTTGACAACGTTCTTTTATTTAATTAAAAGTCTTGGGATTCTTTTGAAACTGCCCGCAGGCTGTGAAAAATTAATAGCAGCTTGCAGGGAGGGGATTCAGATTTGAATGTTAATAATTAACCCAGAACTAATTGCAACTGCATTATAGCACCACAGCAAAGTTTAATTTAATTCAAGGTATGAAAGTCTTTCCCCCAGGCAGCAGATGGCAATGAGCAGAATGTTTGCCTTGCTATGTAATAATTCAGGCAGAGTCAAAATGTTACTCCTTTGGTTGATAGATTCTCCCATATCAAAGCTCTTATCTTACTATTGACCCAAATGAGGGCACAACATCTTCAAACTAGCGTCAGTTAGAGAACCCACGGATTTCTGTGATTTTCCATTCTGATTATGAAACCCACACATTTTCCTGTTGCTGACTGGGTTCCCAAATAGACAGTGGCCAGATGTGCAATTAAGCCAATTGCGCAGACCATGTTTATTCAGATTCAGACCTGCATCATAATGCTCGCAGCAATTTTGATGCTTTTGAATTGGAAATGTGATGGGCAATGAATCCTGTTCTATAAATAAATAGGCAAGTGATACGCAGCTACGATTGGGATCCGCATTGCAGAAAACATCGTATCTGCCTCTCTGTTCAAGTCCTTGAATTTTGGGGTGCAGGAGTTAAGCACCAACCCACACGCCCCAACTCTCCACCCCACTCCCCCAGATTGAATCACACCATGGTCTCTTTGTAGCGCCGCTATAAAAACAGTAGCTAAGGGGGCAATCGTGAAAGGGAAGTGGACCAGGTTCCCTTTGACCCTGCTGGAATTCAAGCAACTGCATCCGTTGCCCAACATGCAAGATAATCCACAGAAAGGAAGATTTTGCACATCTCTAGCTAGCACCAGCAATCAGCTCATATGTGTGGTGCTTCGAGACACATTCTGATCCACAGGCAAGCAAAGATGCTTTCAAATGTGAGGCCTGTGTCAAGCATACTTGCCACTAAATACTTTCGCATTTAAGTCAGGCCCAGCTCACTAGCTTGCAGAACCTGGCTAGTTTGATCAAATTAAAGCTCTTTGCAACACCTCAACTCCCCACCAAGTAAATTAAGAAGACCTTTGCTAAGTCGGAGCTGCGAGGTAGTCCTAGGCAGGGCCGGATTTAGGTATAATGAGGCTCTGCTTTTCCTTAAGATATCCCTATTTACACTGGAGAAATGTTGGAAGGAATGGAGTTATGTGACTCCTGAACCAGGGAGATAAATAACAACGCAACCTTTAGAAGGCATCTGAAGGCAGCCCTGTGTAGGGAAGCTTTTTAATGTTTTATTATGTTTTCATTTATGTTGGAAGCCACCCAGAGTGGCTGCAGCAACCCAGTCCGATGGGTGGGGTATAAATAATAAAATTATGATGGTGATGGAATAGGATGTCCCTGTTTTCATTGGAGAAATGTTGGAGGGTATGCTGAAGCACAGGGACGCAGGTGGCGCTGTGGGTTAAACCACAGAGCCTAGGACTTGCTGATCAGAAGGTCGGTAGTTCGAATCCCCATGACGGGGTGAGCTCCCATTGCTCAGTCCCTGCTGCTGCCAACCTAGCAGTTCGAAAGCACGTCAAAGTGCAAGTAGATAAATAGATACCACTCTGGCAGGAACTAATGGTGAGGGGTCCCTTTACCTTTTTTATGCTGAAGCACGTTTCCCCCCCATGCTCAATTTATTTGTGTGTTTTTTTGAGGGTCCATCAATGTTGCCCTCAATCTTTGCAGGATGGATTTTCAGGTGGACACACACATGCCACGTAAACATGGAAATTTCCCAACCCAGCATCCCAGTTTGGCATGAAGTTCTCCTTTCCCTGCCCCCCCCACCTCCCCATCCAAGGTCCCCTGTGCAAGTCAAAGCTTGTACCAAGGCCCGTCTCAGACTTTCTGCAAAAATCACATCGGCAGCCTCAGTATATTTTGACTGCTGACAACTCCATGCTGCAAGCGAGACAGACACAGACTCGAGCCTTGTGTAGCCGTGCCAGAGGAATGATGCCCAGAGGGGGCTTTGCCAGATAAACCTGAAAGGGGAACATTCATCCAGCAGCAGAGTCCCCACAATGCCTCACGTGACCACCACCCTCTTCTCAATGGCAGGCTTCATCAGGGTGGACTTTGCCGGAGAACCCAAGCCACACCCCTTCTGTCAAGAATGTCAAGCCGCTCTTGGGCAAAGTTCTACCATGAAAATGAAAAAGCCTTCGTGTATTCATGCCCCGCCTTCCATCCTTGGTGCATCGCTCACTCCCTTAACTGCTAGAAGACACCAGTTTGCATAGGTGCCAACTCCCTGGGGCCCCCGTGCCCATGCATCCACAAATTTTCCTAGGGAGGAGCCAGGCATCCACAAATTTTGGTGCCAACTTGGCTTCACGACTGTGAGTGCCAGGGGCGCCCTGCAGTGTGTATGGCCCTGGCACAGAAATTTGTGGGTGCCTGGCCCCTTCGTGGGGAAATTTGTGGGTGCTCGGGCACCCGGGGCCCCAGGGAGTTGGCACCTAGGGCCAGGGCCATGCATGCTGCGTGGCACCCATGGTTGTGGGACCAAGCTGGCATTCCTGCCAGCTTGCTACAGTATGCAGAAGGAGATCATCAGCTTATACTGCTGCTGCATCTGTCTCTCTCTCTTTTATAGTGCTACATAGCAAAAATGAGCAAAGCAATTAAGACAGAGCCCTTAGGAGCTGAAGGTTAGATTACTCTTTCTGCTGGAAATTGTATTGTACATAAAGGTAAAGGGACCCCTGACCATTAGGTCCAGTCATGACTGACTCTGGGGTTGCGGTGCTCATCTTGCTTTATGGGCCGAGGGAGCCAGCGTACAGCTTCCAGGTCATGTGGCCAGCATGACTAAGCCGCTTCTGATGAACCAGAAGTTTACTTTCCCACCAGTGCAGTACCTATTTATCTACTTGCACTTTGATGTGCTTTTTAACTGCTAGGTTGGCAGGAGCAGGGACCAAGCAATAGGAGCACACCCCGTCGCGGGGATTCGAACCGCTGACCTTCTGATCGGCAAGTCCTAGGCTCTGTGGTTTAATCCACAGTGCCACCCGTGTCCTGTATTGTACATAGCAGCCCTTGAATTTAAAGCTATGAATACTCTGGAACCCAAGCTAATGCATGCCCCAGCATTCCCCTGTAACCATCTACTGCACTTTGCTTATCAGGGACTAGTCACTAGTTAATGTGCTATGCTTTGTGACAATGCATCTGTTAGGAGAATCCATGTGGCAGCGTGCTTAGATTGCTGTTGTAGTATAAACACTGACAACTGGGAAACACTGGCTTGTGAGAGCTCCAATTGGAGAACTGCCTTTACCAAATGTGTCATGGGTTTTGAAGATACTCGAACTCAGGATGAAAGGGAGAAACGTGCTAAGAGGAAGGCATGCTTAGCAAACCCTCACTGTGATCACCTCCCGCCCAGAAACCTATGTCCCCACTGTGGAAGGACGTGTGGATCCAGAATTGGCCTCCACCGTCACTTACAGACTCACTGTTAAGACCGTGTTTATGGAAGACAATCTTACTTGGCTACGAGAGAAGGAGAAGGAGAAGAAGAGGAGGAGGAGGAGATTGTTGTACTTAGGGCCAGTAGGGGAGACCTAGTCTCAAATCCCTACTTGTGGAGTTTGCTGAGTTACCATGGATAAGTGTGTACTAGCACTCAACCAACCATTCTACACAGAGTCATTGTGATGATGGGCATATCTAGCTCACAGTCCAAGTAGATCCACTGAAATCAGTCACGATGACTAACTTGACTCCACCACTTTCAATGGGTCTGCTTCAAGTATGAAGTGAGCTAGATACTTCCCCATGAGAGGAAGTGGGAGAGCTGTGGAGGCCACCATCATCTTATTGGAGTAAGATAATTGCTGAGATGTTCTTGAATCCTCCTCCAAAATGTGTGTGCTCAAAGACCCACCATCCTGGAAGCCAGCAAAGCAGAATCAACGAAGGAAAGGCTCTCTTGAAGCAACAATCTGTGATCCAAATGCCAAACCTCTTTGGTCCAAACAATTAGAAAGCCACCGTTCTTCCACTTAAACAGTGGCTTTCTAACTGTTTGGACCAAAGAGGCTTTTGGATCACAGATTATTGGTTCTAGAGAGCCTTTCAGTGGCAGGTTCCCAAATGGACTTAGAGTTTGTTTAAAGAGTTAACTTGGGCCAGGAATATTACCGTATTTTCCTCTCCATAAGACGTACCTGACCATAAGACGCACCTAGTTTTTAGAGGGAGAATGCAAGAAAAAAAATATTATTTAAAGGGAGCGCTGAGCAGAGACTGTATGCATCCCAGGCTCTGCTCAGCGCTCCCTTTCACTGACGGGCTGCCCTCCTCCCTCCTCAGGGAAAAGCCCCCAAGAGCCGCACACACACTCCACGCAGCTCGTGAAAGGGAGCACAGCTCTTGCGGGCTTTTCCAGGAGGTGGGGGAAGGGACAGAGGAGCTAAGCCAGAAGCCAGAACAGCGAGAGGGATCACTGCGCAGGGATCCCTCTCGCTGTTCTGGCTTCTGGGATAACTGTGCAGCCTGCATTCGCTCCATAAGACGCACACACATTTCCCTTTACTTTTTAGGAGGGAAAAGGTGCGTCTTATAGAGCGAAAAATACAGTAATTCATTTCCACAAGATCTCTGATCCTCAGGTGCAGCTGTTTCAAGGACCAAATTGAACAGCCACAGGAGAGTACGCACATGCACTTGAGAAGAGTCCTCAAGTGGAATCAGAACTGAGAAGTGCACAAACCGTGATGGATAATATAATGGTCCATGAGCTTCTGCATCAGCCGAATGCCTGTTTCTCGGTCTGGTGCTTCTTTGTGGTCAATCAACCAATCGGTGAGCTCCTTGGCCACAAAGCAATTGGGGTAGGTGCGGAGGTGGTAGCGCCTGTCCTTAATAAGCTTGCCATCGTGGAGTCGAAGCCTGGAAGGGAAACAGAAAACAGGTCAAGAGCTGGAAATGGAGAAATGTAAGCTTCTTTGCTTAGTCAGGAATAATCAGATGTGCAAATATAAGATGGGGACACCTGGCTTGACAGCAGGACATATGAAAAGGATCTAGGAGTCTTAGTAGACCACAAACTTAACATGAGTCAACAGTGTGATGCAACAGCAAACAAAAGCCAATGCTATTCTAGGCTGCATCAACAGAAGTATAGTGTCCATATGAAGGGAAGTAATAATGCCACTCTATTCTGCCTTGGTCAGACAACACCTTGAATACTGTGCCCAGTTTGGGGCATCACAATTTAAGGATATTGACAAGCTGGAACACGTGCAGAGGAGGGCAACCTAGGGGATCAAAGATCTGGAAACCAAGCCTTATGAAGAACAGTTGAGGGAATAGGGTTTTGCCTGGAGAAGACAGATGTGTGATAGCCACCTTCAGATATCTAAAGGGCTATCACATGGAAGAGGGAGCAAGCTTGTTGTCTGCTGAGCCAGAGGATAGGGCCCAAATCAATGGATCACAAGAAAGGTGATTCTGACTAAACATTAGGAATAACTTTCTGATGGTAGGGGCTGTTTGATGGTGGACTGGACTGCTTCAGAAGGTGGTGGGTTTTTAACCCACTGGGGAGTTTTAAACAGAGGTGAGATGGTGTCAGGCTTCAGGGAATGGGCTTCCTCCTCCCTTTGGCAGTAGATAAGCAGAACAAAGAAAAAGGAGTCTTCTTACCAGTTAGAACTTTCATGATCACATTGAGAGAACAAAGAATCCATTTCCTAGGAATGAAGGTGCTCCCAATTAAGGGTTCCACCCATTTCCTCCCTAGTCGCCCATGTCTCTACTGCGTCTTGCAACCTGATCTCATAACCACTGTGCTTTCTTTGCTGCCACCTTATCTGCTCTTCTTGACCTTGGGCTGAGCAGAAGAATGCTTTCCAGAGACAGTGAATCTGTTAACTCTCTCCCTCTCCCAGTTTTTTTTCTCCTAACTGTTCCCCAGTCAGTATTTCCCAGCTTCTGCCTTCTGAACCATGTCCCTCTGTAAACCACTGTTCTAAATCTATACTGTACTCCTGCTCCTGGGAAGATTCAGGAGGAGGCTCCCACCATTCCTCCTTAGCACAGTCCCTGACAGATGGCGACCTGTCTTGGATTCTTTAGCTGCGATTCCTTCATTGCAGGGGGTTGGACTAGATGACCCTCGGGACCTCTTCCAACTCTACAATGTCAGGATTCTACGGTGACATTTGGAATATGACATTTCTGCACTTGAAATCTGAGCGGCAATGTCCTTTTGCTGCTGCTGCGTTAACCCTGGTGGAAACACGTCTGACTGGTCTTTGTTATGATGCCCTCTCTGGGACTCAATTAGTTCTGGCAATCACTAGTGTTGACGGAGGCTTCATATCAAGGTCAACTGTGCTGAAAAAACTATTTTGGCGGTTTCCAAAGGCTGTTCCCCTCCTCCTAACACTTTTCTTGACATTCATCACTGCACTAAACGTTCCTTCCTGACTTGTTCCACTTGCTCAAGGCCTACCCAGCTCTTACTGCAGTTTATTTACTGAGTTTATTTAGAACACTGACAGATTGCTTTACCAGTAAATGTTCTCAGACTGATGTGCAAAGGCAACAGGAGGAAGACATCGCAAGGAAATCAAATGCTCACAATTATAGGGCGGTTTAAAGAAATAGCCGTAAGCCAAGCAGAACCTCAGAGCAGCTCAGAAGACTGAACCGCAGAAGAACAATAGATTTTGACTCTCCCTTCCAAGGATAATGAGAAAGGGGTCACACATCTCCCCATGGAAGGCTTTTCCAAAGCTCTGGGGATGGAACTGAAAGCTCATGCTCCTTATAGAGGCCAACCTCTGTTACAAATTACAAGGAAGGAGATCCCAACGAAACATTAGGAAGAAGAACAGCATTTGACTGTGGAATAGGCTACGACGGAAGATGACAGAATTGCCTTCACTGGAGGTTTTTAAATAGAGGTTGGGTGGCTATCTGTCATGGATGCTTTAGTTGAGAGTCCTGCGTTGCAGGGGGTTGGACGATATCCTCGGGTTCCCTTCCAACTACAGTCATACTTCAGGATGAATACACTTCTGCTTAAATATTTTCGGGTTGCGCTCCGCGGTGACCCGGAAGTGCATTACTTTCGGGTTTCGCCGCTTGCACAGACGCTCAAAATGACATCACGTGCATGCATGGAAGCTGCAAAACACGACCCGCGCATGCACAGACGCACAGTCACGTCTTACGTTCACTTCAGGATACGAACGGGGCTCCAGAACGGATCGCGTTTGCATCCAGAGGTACCACTGTATACAGTTCTATGATTCTATTATTCAGTGGCTGCTCCCCATCTCAAAATAAGATAAAATAAAATAAAATAAAATAATCAAATCAAATCAAATCAAATCCTTCTTGTAATCCAGATCTGTCCCAAGCCTTAAACTCTTCATTTTCCCCGATGAGTTTATGAAAACTTGCCACACTTATGTGACATTCTGAGTAGTTCTCCACTGCCCAGCTGTGGATTTTGGAGGGGTTTTTCTTTTCTTTTTACACGTTGCTCCTTTTGCTTTATTGAATCCATCTGCCAGTTGCCAACACCTTCTTTGCCCTGCTGCAATCTAGTAAGTTTTCCAGGCTTGACGCAAGCCCTCAGCTTCAAAAGCACCTCTAAACACATCAGAGCCAAATTTACCTCTCTCTGCATGTGTTTATGAAGCCATGACCACGGGAAAGGGGGCAGAGAAGTGGAATCTATTAGATACGTCTCACAGAGCCTCTCAAAACCCCGGAACCTAGATTAAAATAGTGTAGGCAATGGCGTAACGTTATCAAGGTCACTAGGAGAACAGAACTACCCTTGACAATCTTATTCACAGGCAAAGTCTCAGAGCATTAAACAAATATCACAAGATATCCGATACCAGAAAAACAGCCCGTAGTGCTTTTTCAAATATTGTTTTTGTTTAAACAAAGGAAGACTGTGCACTCAGCAAAACACCGCAGTGCTCTCAGAGCAAAGTGTGAGGACAAGTTATTCCTGACAACTCTCTGGGCCTTCACTCCATTTCCAGGCCTCATGTTCACGGTTCACTGTCTGTGTGCGCACACGTTTGCACATTTGCACGTAGGCCCCATCTGCACTACATATTTAAAGCAGTATCATACCACTTCTTGGAAGAAAAGTGATGACAAACCTAGACAGCATCTTAAAAAGCAGAGACATCACCTTGCCGACAAAGGTACGTATCGTTAAAGCAATGGTTTTCCCAGTAGTGATGTATGGAGGTGAGAGCTGGATCATAAAGAAGGCTGGTTGCCGAAGAATTGATGCTTTTGAATTATGGTACTGGAGGAGGCTCTTGAGAGTCCCATGGACTGCAGGAAGATCAAACCTATCCATTCTGAAGGAAATCAGTCCTGAGTGCTCACTGGAAGGACAGATCGTGAAGCTGAGGCTCCAATACTTTGGCCACCTCATGAGAAGAGAAGACTCCCTGGAAAAGACCCTGGTGTTGGGAAAGATGGAGGGCACAAGGAGAAGGGGACAACAGAGGACGAGATGGTTGGACAGTATTCTCGAAGCTACCAGCATGAGTTTGACCAAACTGCGGGAGGCAGTGGAAGACAGGAGTGCCTGGCGTGCTCTGGTCCATGGGGTCACGAAGAGTCGGACACGACTAAACAACCACCACCACCACTTTAAACAGCCATGGCTTCCCAAGAAGAATCCTGGGAGGTGTAGTTTTTTAAGGGTGCTGAGATTTTATTGGGGGCGGCAGGAAAGCTCCGCCCCACATCACATGGCGGGGTGCACACACACTATTTGAATGGCAATGTCCATCAACTTGGGGAAAGCCCAGCCCCCTTGCAAGTCCCTAGGAGTCGGATCCCATGATTCCCATCACAGAGCCACAATTCCCAGAGTTCCCTGGGAAGAGAGATTGATTGCTAAAACATATATCAGTTATCCCTCTCCAACATCAGAGAGGCCGATCTGAGTGGCTTCTCAGTCAGCAGAGCCTGAGACTTTTAATCTCAGGGTCGTTGGGCAAAAGATTCCGGCAGGCTCCCTCAGGCTCCCTTCCAACACTACAATTCCATGATGCTATAATCACACATACCCCTGCCACAACAGAAATCTGATGTCACGACCCAGCCAAAGTTGATAACTGTTGGTGTTCTCTGCTAGCCTTCATATGAGTGTTTAACCTTAATCATGTGATTAAGGTATTCAACTGAAAATCTCCATTTTGAAAGTGAGTTGCCTTGGTTTTTTTGTTCCTAGGAGGTCAGAGAAAGATGTGATAATGCTGCCTCTCCAGGAGTGCAAGGCCTTAGGCTGGATGCAGGATAATGCAAGCTAAGGGAGAGACTGAGTTTTGCCGTGATGGTAATTACGCTATATATTTAAAAAGAAGAACCTATGCTTGAATATGCATATGCTTTATACAATTATTTGAATGTATCATTGATTGTTTTTGTATCTGTTTTGAAGTAGTTCTGGTTAGCAAAACTTTGAATCAAATTTATGGGTCTGGAAAAATTTTATTCCAAAAGGAATCAGCTTTTACGCATCCAGTTGCTTCTAGCTGTGCAATATTAATATCTGCAATAGGTCTTTGGGTTGTGAAGTTTCTACCAACCAGTTTCATTTCCATTTTTATTAGCTTTATTGTAGTTTTGCATCTTTGTGTTGTACAGTGCCTTGGCGTATTTTCATGAAACTGCAGGTTTATTTAAATAAATAAAACAAAAGCCCAAGTGAAAGCAATATGCACATGTGTTTTGTCTGCACATTCAGGACTTGGGAAACCCATGCCAACTGGAGGCTCCCTGGTTGCGTAGACTAGAGATGCTGGAAAGTTTTTCCCAAGCAAAGCTCAGATAAGAACTGCAGCAGCAAAAACACTCTATATAATAATAATAATAATAAATTTTATTTATATCCCGCCCTCCCCAGCCAAAGCCAGGCTCAGGGCGGCTAACAACAAACAAATAATCAAACAATCAAATAATCCAACATTCTAAAACATTTCATTATAAAAATTAATTAAAATCAAATTAATGGCAACCGTTAAGCAAAGTTCTGTGCAGGTTGCCAGAGGTGGGAGTCAGGCTGGGCCCTGACCAAAGGCCTGGTGGAACAACTCTGTCTTGCAGGCCTTGCGGAAAGATGTCAGGTCCCGCAGGGCCCTAGTCTCTTGTGACAGAGCGTTCCACCAGATTGGAGCCGCAGCAGAAAGCCCTGGCTCTAGTTGAGGCCAGCCTAACCTCTCTGAGGCCTGGGACCTTCAGGATGTTTTTATTTGCAGACCGTAGGTTCCTCTGTGGGGCATACCAGGAGAGGCGGTCCCGTAGGTACGAGGGTCCTAGGCCGTATAGGGCTTTAAAGGTTAAAACCAGCACCTTAAACCTGATCCTGTACTCCACCGGGAGCCAGTGCAGCTGGTATAGTACCGGATGAATGTGATCTCGCAGCGAAGACCCCATAAGGAGTCTCGCCGCGGCATTCTGCACCCGCTGGAGTTTCTGGGTCAGTCTCAAGGGCAGCCCCACGTAGAGCGAGTTACAATAATCCAGTCTGGAGGTGACCGTCGCGTGGATCACAGTGGCTAGGTCAGGGCGAGAGAGATAAGGGGCCAACTGCTTAGCTTGGCGGAGATGAAAAAATGCCGCCTTTGTTATAGCTGTAATCTGCGCCTCCATAGAGAGGGAGGTATCGAAGATTACACCCAAACTCTTAACGGACGGTGCTGGCACTAATTGCACCCCGCAAGAGATGGGAGTTGCCCCCAATCCCATATCGTCCCGTCCCAGCCAGAGGACCTCTGTCTTCGAAGGATTTAACTTCAACCGGCTTCCGCGTAACCATCCAGCCACAGCTTCCAAACATCTGGTCAGTGTGTCTGGGGCCGAGTCAGGATGGCCATCCATCAACAGATAGAGTTGGGTGTCATCGGCATACTGATGGCAACCCAGCCCAAAACTCCCGGACAAGCTGGGCGAGGGCGCATAAAGATGTTAAAAGCATCGGGAGAGTATCGCACCCTGAGGCACTCCACACACCAAGGAGTGGCGGGATGACAATTCCCCCAAGCGCCACCCTCTGTCCCCGACCGGAGAGAAACGAGCGCAGCCATTGAAGGACTGTGCCCTGGATCCCCACGTCGGCAAGGCGGTGGTCCAGGAGTTCGTGATCAACCATGTCGAAGGCTGCTGACAGGTCTAGAAGAATCAGCAGCCCCGACCCGCCTCGATCCAGCTGCCTGCGGAGATCATCTGTTAGGGCGACCAGAGCCGTCTCGGTCCCATGACCAGCGCGGAAGCCAGACTGGAATGGATCCAGAGCCGATGTTTCATCCAGAAACCTACCAAGCTGTTCAGCAACCGCTCTCTCAATCACCTTACCCAGGAATGGAAGATTCGAAACCGGGCGGTAATTGGATAGATCTAAGGGATCTAATGATGTTTTCTTTAAGAGCGGGCGCACCACTGCCTCCTTCAATTCCCCTGGAAATATCCCGGTGCCAAGGGACAAATTGATGATATCCCCCAGGGGGGCCCGCACCTCGTCTGGACACGCTCTAATCAGCCAAGACGGGCACGGGTCAAGAGGACAGGTGGTGGGCTTTCCAGCTCGGAGGAGTCTGTCCACATCGGCTGGGGATATCCGATCAAAGTGGTCCAATACTGGACCCGAGGACAGTCGAGGGGCCTCCAGTTCCTTTATTGTATCCAAATTGGCAGGGAGGTCATGGCGGAGCAACAGGACCTTCTCCGCAAAAAGCTCGCAAATGCCTCACAGCTGTGTGTCAGATTGTTATTTAAATTTGGCTGTCCTTCAAGGGACGTTAAAGACCTAATTATACTAAATAATTGCGCCGGGCGAGAGCTAGCGGATGCAATGGAGGCCGAGAAGTAAGACTTCTTAGCGGCCTTCACCGCCATCTCATAGGTTTTCATAAAAACCCTATAAGATGTTCTTGAGGCTCCGTCACGGGCACCCCGCCATACTCGCTCTAGCCGTCTGAGGTCCCGCTTCATTTTCCGAAGCTCCTCGGTAAACCAGGGAGCCCGGTTTCTGCGGAGTCGCAGAGGGCGCTTAGGTGCGATCTCATCTATGGCTGCCAGGAGCTGGGTATTCCAGCCCTCAACAAGCTCAGTCAATGAGTCGCCAGGGGAGCAAGGTCCCGCAAGGCTTGACGGAATCTATCAGGGTCCATCAGCCTCTGCGGGCGAGCCCAAATCGGCTCGCCACCTAAGCAGGGTGGGGGTGGAAAGTCAATCCTGGCTTTCAGAGCGTAGTGATCAGACCATGGCACCTTAATTGAAGGAGACATGATCACATCTATACCTACGCCAAAGATCAAATCCAGCGTGTGGCCTGCTTGATGTGTGGGGCCTGAAACAAACTGGGAGAGCCCTAGTGTTGCCATGGAAGACACCAGGTCCAGAGCCTGTGAGGAGGGAGTGGCATCAGCATGGATGTTGAAGTCCCCCAATACCAATAGGTTAGGGAACTCCAAGGCCCAGCCGGCCACCGCCTCCAGTAGGCCTGACAGGGTGGCTGCTGGTGCGCTAGGTGGCCGGTACACCAGCCAGACAGCCAAGCTCACCTCAGAGCCCCACACTAGGCCAACACATTCAATGCCGGGGATCGATGGCGATGGTAGAGCCCTGAAAGGACAATCTTCCCGGATTAATAATGCCACCCCTCCCCCCCGGCCCACAGTCCGTGACTGGTGGAGGACGGAGAAACCCGGGGGCGCCATCTCTCGTAAGGTAACTGTTGCCCCTTCGCGTACCCAGGTCTCCGTCACACAAGCCAGGTCAACCCCCTGCGAGGTAAAGAAATCTCGCAGAGTGGCGGTTTTGTTGCCTATAGACCTGGCATTGCACAACACCAGTGACGGAGGTGAGTAATCCTTGCTCACCCTACCCTCGTCCCTCGGGATGGGGCGCAGATTGGAAGGGGGACGAGCATATCCGTATCTCGATCCCCTTCGCCTATAACATCTGCCCCCACCACCATACCTCCCTCGCCCCTCCACGGTAGCAATCCCAAGCCTCATACAAGCCTCCATTTACAAAATAGAAAACCAAACCAAACTGAAAACAATTCTACCTAAACAAAACCAATCCCCACCCCAAACCACAATAAAACAGAACAAAATAAAAATACATAGATAAAAACCACTGTTCACGGTGGTACAATAAAGTAAAAAGTAAAAACACCTTTAAAATACTTTAAAATATATAAAAACATTTTTAACATTTGCTGCAGCAGCACTCAGTGTCCTTAAAACTGTAGCGGAGGTGAGTCTGGGCCCCGCCCCTAGGCCAGGTGGAATCAGCCTGAAGAGGGAGCGGCCTTCCCCAACACTCACGGTGCAGCAGCAGCGATGTCCCAATGCCTCAGTGAGGCTTCTTAAAGCTGTGGCGAAGGTGAGTCTGGGCCCCGCCCCCTAGGCCAGGTGGAATCAGCCTGAAGAGGGAGCGGCCTTCCCCAACACTCACGGTGCAGCAGCAATATATATATATTGCATAAAATCTATACACCGCTTGACTGTAGAAAAACCTCAAAGCAGTCTGCAAAATTACTGTTATTATTTATTAAATCTATATACCACCCTTCAGCCGAAGATCTCAGAGCAGAACACAGCATAAAAATGCAAATTAAAAATACGTAATAAAAAAAGAGCAAAAACAATACCCCCCCCCCAAAAAAAAACCCACATTTAAAAGGGCATAGAATGTTAATCAGTCAAAGAGCTGGTTGAAGAGGAACGTTTTCAACTGGTCCCTAAAGATGTATAAAAACAACAACAACAATTTATATGAAGTGTTGAAAGCGGCCTTGCATTTGACTGCCCGGACAGCATCAACAGCACAAATCAGCATGAGTATGTAATAAAACAGTAGGTCTGGTGGGGCCCAAAATTACAAATACAGTGGATGCTCAGGTTGTGAACGTGATTCGTGCGGGAGGCACGTTCGCAACCCACAGCGCCGTGTCTGCGCATGCGTGGGTTGCGATTCGGCGCTTTTGCGCATGCGTAACTGCCGAAACTCGGAAGTAACCCGTTCCAGTATTTCCAGGTTCCAGCAGTTCTGTAACCCAAAAAAACGCAACCTGAAGCGCCTGTAACCTGAGGTATGACTGTACCCTTCTTTCATTTCCTTTCCTCGTTCCTACAAAATCTTCCTCCGTAACTACTTAAAAAGAACGTCAAGCTGAAAGCAGTCTGCAAGATTTTATTTTGTGTGCAGCACTTAGGTTTCCAGTGGCTCTGTAAACAGTAAATATCATTATTCACCAGAAGAGAGTCTACTCCTATATTTGCTTCCCAAGAAAAGCACATGGAATGCGATCTTTCCAAATCCTTTCCCTTCCAACAGCTGGCTTGAGCCAAACCTGGTAAAGCTGAGTTTTACATGGGCTGCTTTTGACCCCAACCCAGCGCACTCCCTCCCACCACCTGCCACAAAATTATAGACCAGGACAATCTTCCTCCGTTCTACAGCAGAAGGCAGTCTTCACGGCCTGCGTTCACCTTGCCTGCACCTACAAACACCGTCCTCAGGCAGTGGAGCCGCCGTCCTGAAATGCCCTCTATGGTTCAGAAAACCCACAAGCATTCTTCACACTCGACAGCTTCTGGAATTCCAGCCATGATTTCTGTTTGAGGGACCTGGTTCATGGAACGTTTTTCAGTTGGCAAGGGTTGCCATCCATCGGGGGCTTGCTCATAAGAGGCATTTGCAAAACAATTCTAGCATTGAAGCAGGGCTGCCATACGTCCGGTTTTCCTGGACATCACTGGGATTCCAAAGGTGTCGTTGACGTCCAGAGGGAATTTCCAAAAGGTGGCGCTTTGTTCTGGATCTTAGAGAAGTGAATCAAAAAATCGTGGGGGCTTTTTTGGGGGGGGGAGCTCAACAACTTTCGGGGTGTCCTGGTTTTTACTTTTTGAAATATGGCAACCCTACATTGAAATAAATTACCAGGCTTCTAGCCCTTATGAGAATAGCATTATATGTATTTTTATATTTTTGTATTTTTATTGACAAAGTAATAATCATAAATAAATAAGAATAAACATGTCCACCCCACCACCAAGACCATTCCATAGGAACTATCCAAGCTCCCAAAATTTCAACACCTCTTGCGATGGTTTGACCAGCGTTGTATTTATAAACCTGCAGATAGTGCCTGTAAAAGTATTATTAGGAAAAACTTCTTTTCCACATGATGCATAATCTTAAACCCCTCCCCTTGCTCACCTTTTTTCTAAATATCCCCAAATTTTGCCACCTTTCTTCTCAATCCCCTTAATCAGTTTTGTGCCACTTTTCCGAGCCTGTTCCCTTTCTAGAATACCCTTTGCATGGTGATACTGCCAAGGGCAGTTGCATCAAATGTTACTCTAATGAAAGTCTTTATTTTCAGCTCCTTTCCTAATGATCCCTAGCATGCAATTCATATTTTTCACAGTTGCCGCACAGCGGGTCAACATCTTCATCATCAAGTTTGTTGCTGTTGCTGGTATCTGTCTTGTCTCGAGAGGCAATGGAGTGTGCCTCCAGGGGTGAAGTCAAACTGCTGTGTTAGCAACACCAAAGCGACCTTCCATAGTGTGCAGGCCAGGGCAGTGTGTACAGAGGTCCTGGGCTACCCAGATGACAAGACCCTCCTCTCGGCCTTGCTGGTGTGGTCCAAAGGAAAGCAGAGCAAGACGTTTGGCACCAGCTTGGCTGCAGGAGTCAATGGAAGGAAGCATACAAGGCACCATCCAAACATCTTAACGACTGCGCTCAGGATTGGTTTAGAGTTTGCTCCGTATCCTATGCCTCTGTCAAAGATATCTCACAAGGTAGCAGAGGTTCAGGACCAGAGTTTTCCTCCTCCTAGATGGGCTACCTTACCAGGTTGATGGAGGATAGGACTCGAACCAGTGGCTATAAGCTACAAGATTCCGACTAAACATTAGGAAGCACTTTCTGACGGCAAGAGCTGTTTGATAGCAGCATGGTCTCCTTCAGAAGGTGGTGGTCTCTGTTTCGATGGAGGTTTTTAAGCAAAGGCTGGATGGCCACCTCTCAGGGACTCTTTAGCTGTGCAGCTGTGCAGGATTCCTGCATTGCAGGTAGGTGGCCTAGATGACCCTTGGGTGCCATCCAATTCTTACAATTCTATGATGATAATAAATTAAGTCAAGTTGCCGCTGTGAGTTAAACCAAAGAGCCTAGGACTTGCCGATCAGAAGGTCAGCGGTTCAAATCCCCACGATGGGGTGAGCTCCCGTTGCTCTGTCCCAGCTTCTGCCAACCTAGCAGTTCGAAAGCATGTCAAAGTGCAAGTAGATAAATAGGTACCACTCCGGAGGGAAGGTAAACGGTGTTTCCGTGCACTGCTCTGGTTCGCCAGAAGTGGCTTAGTCATGCTGGCCGCATGACCCGGAAGCTGTACGCCGGCTCCCTCAGCCAATAAAGCAAGATGAGCGCTGCAACCCCAGAGTTGGCCACGACTGGACCTAATGGTCAGGGGTCCCTTTACCTTTACAGTGGTGCCTCGCAAGACGAAATTAATTCGTTCCGCGAGTTTTTTCGTCTAGCGAATTTTTCGTCTTGCGAAGCACGAATTCCCATAGGAATGCATTGAAATTCAATTAATGCGTTCCTATGGTCAAAAAAGTCCAATCAAAGCCAAATTCGGTACAACAAGAGTTTATTAACTGCTCTTTAAAGTCACACATACTTTAAAGAGCATATCAAAATTGAAGGAACAATAAATTAAGTTTCTAAACATGACAGGAAAAACATTTAAAAATCAAAAAGGGTACATTACATTTTCTAAGACTCTGGGGACCACTCGAAGAAGGTTCCTCTTCCACTCTTTGCTTCTTGCTGAGGAACCTGTCCATGGTCTGCTGCTTCATCCGCCGTTTCAGCAGCTCCCTGAGAGGCGACATGACCGTCGTATCAAAAATGTTCGCTTGGTCATGTGCCACGTGCTTGTCAGGGTGGTGCCGCTCTGCAAAAGCCTGCACCTCATTCCACTTCTGGCAAATGTCCCTCAGTTCTTTGGAGGACAGCCGTTCCTCAGTTGCTTCCTCCTCTTCCAGCGAGGCCTGCTCCTGCGCAACCTCTGACTGCAGTGCAACCAGCTCCTGGGTGGTCAGCTCGTCGTCGTGCTCCTCCACCAGCTCGCAAACGTCCTCCTCTGTGACCTCCAGGCCCAAGGTCCTCCCCAAGGCAACAATGTCCTGCACCACTGTCGACTCTGGTGCATCAGAGTCACTTGGTGCCACACAGTCCGGCCACAGGCTGCGCCAGCGCAATTCAAATTCCTCTGGCTGATCCCCTTCCAGGCCGTGGTGATCATCTTCAAGCAGGTGACGATGTCGAAGTGGTCCTTCCAGAATTCCCGCAGGGTGATGGTGGTGCAATCAGTCACCTCGAAGCATCGCCTGAAAAGCTCCTTGGTGTAGAGTTTCTTGAAATTGGCGATGACCTGCTGATCCATCGGCTGGAGCAGTGGCGTGGTGTTAGGCGGCAGGAACATGATGTTGATGAAGCTGAACTCCTCCAACAAGTCCACCTCAAGGCCTTTAGGATGAGCAGGAGCATTGTCCATCAGAAGCAAAGCCTTCAGCGGCAGGTCATTGTCCAGCAGGTACTGTTTGACAGCAGGGCCAAAGGCAAGATTGACCCAGTCCACAAACAGCACACGTGTGACCCAAGCCTTGCTGTTGGATCGCCACATGACACTCAGCCGCTCCTTGTCGACCTTGTGTTTCTTGAAGGCCCGTGGGTTCTCCGAGTGGTACACCAGCAGGGGCTTGATCTTCAGGTCGCCGCTTGCGTTGGCACAGAAGAGCAGGGTCAGACGGTCCTTCATGGGCTTGTGGCCAGGCAACTTGGCCTCCTCCTGAGTGATGAAAGTCCTTTTGGGCATCCTCTTCCAAAACAGCCCGGTCTCGTCGCAGTTGAAGACCTGCTGTGGAGCGTAGCCCTCCGTCTTCACAACCTCCAGGAACTCCAAGGCAAAGTCTTCAGCCGCAGGAACATCAGAACTGGCAGCCTCTCCATGCCTGACCACGCTGTGGATTCCGGATCTTGCCTTGAACCGGTCAAACCAGCCTCTGCTTGCCTTGAAGACTTCTGGCTCGGCCGAGGTTCCTGGCTGTTCCCGGATGAGGTCTGCGTGCAAGGCCTTGGCCTTCTCACAAATCACGGCCTCAGTCACTGTGTCCCCTGCACGCTGCTTCTCTTCTATCCAGATGAGGAGCAACTTCTCGACCTCCTCCAGAACAGCTGGGCGGTTCTTCACGATCCTGGTGACTCCCTTGGCTGCATCAGTCGCAAGGATCTTCTCCCTCATCTTCAGGATGGTCCCGATGGTCGATGGGTTCCTGCCGTACTCCCTGGCGAGGTCCGTCACACGCATTCCACCGTCGTGCTTCCGGATGATCTCCTTCTTCATCTCCAGCGTCACCTTCTCCTTCTTCCTCTCGCCGGCCTCCGCAGCAGCAGCAGTCTTCTTGGGTCCCATGGCAGCACAGCTGTTACCTTTGTAAAACTCAGAAAAGAAAAAAAAATCAGCAATTCAAACCCACAACCAAGTCCTTGAATTCCAAACACCCAACCCAAAATCCAAAAACCCCAAAAAAGTTTTAAAAGTTTAACTTACGAAATGGCTGCAAATCACCAAAGTCTTCAAAATCCTCAAATGGCTGCAAAAGAAATTTTGGGAAAGCTTTAAAAATCACCAAAGTCTTCAAAAACCTCAACTGTTCCCCCAGCCCCTCCCCAACTGTTGCAAACCCCTCCCCAACTGTTGCAAACCCCTCCTCAACTGTTCCCCCAGCCACCCAGCACACAGAAATTCAAAACCCAGAAAATTTTTCAAAAAAAAACAACATGGCCCAATGGTTACAGAAAACCATAAAAATTCAAAAAAAAGCACACAAGCTCCCAGATTCTTGCAAACACCTCCCCAGCTGGGCCCCCATCCACCCAGCACACAGAAATTTAAAACCCAGAAACTTTTTCAAAAAAAACAACATGGCCCAATGGTCACAAAAAATCATAAAAATTCAAAAAAAGCACACAAGCTCCCAGATTCTTGCAAACACCTCCCCAGCTGTTCCCCATCCACCCAGCACACAGAAATTCAAAATTCAAAGCCAGATTTTTTTTTTAAAAAAAAATAAACATGGCCCAATGGTCACAGAAAATCATAAAAATGCAGAAAAAAACCACACAAGCTCCCAGATTCTTGCAAACCTCTCCCCAACACCAAGTCCTTGAATTCTAAACACCCCAACCCAAAATCCCAAAAACCCCAAAAAAGTTTTAAAAGTTCAACTTACCAAACAGCTGTAGAAGAAGTTTTGGAAAAGCTTCAAAAATCCAGCAAACTCTTTAAAAAGCTCAGAAAGGCCACCACACCGCGTGCAATGTGTTGCTCCTCGAGGTCAAGTCGCAACTGCACCTCTTCAAGCAATGCACCCTGGGTTTTAACGGTTTTACGAAAAGGAAACAAACTTGCAAGACGTTTTCGTCTTGCGAAGCAAGCCCATAGGGACATTCGTCTTGCGAAGCAACTCGAAAACGAAAAAACCTTTCGTCTTGCGAGTTTTTCGTTTTGCGAGGCGTTCGTCTTGCGGGGCACCACTGTACTTTAACCTTTATTGGCATCACATAAGAACATTCAGAATACATTTAAAATAGATAGGCCAGTGCCTGTCTTTCTTTTATGCTGGCTAAGCATTTGTTTTTCAGCAGACAAAGATACCTTACTTAGTGAAGTTTTGTCTGACTCCTTTCCTTCCCCAGGAATTGCACAAAGATACGGCAACTCGGGCTTTCAGAGGATCTCCTGGGCGCTGTGGCTCTCCCAGTCACCAAGACCATGTTAAAAACTAGGCTGTGGGACATAGATCACCAGGGACTAATCTCAGCTGCGGAAAAAATATGCTCCCCTCTTTATTTTTGACTCTCTGGGGCGCAGGAATTTAATCTTAATTATTTACAATTTTTGTTTAATGCACAAGAAAGAAGGGCCTTTTCGCTGGCTAGGTTCATTTCTAATCCTTCTAACCTCCTTTGGAGTAGGTTTGCGGGTTTGGCAGGAGATAGGATCTGCCCATGCGATGCCCACCTGGTGGAAACTCTAGCTTAACTGTAAAATACATGATGATCTCCACCAACAATTTCTAGACCATCTATGTATTCCAACATGGAAACTAGAGACTGAGGTTATGCGCTTCTTATTACAGGGGAGAGACCAGGAGCTCACCAAGACAATAGCTAAGTTCCTCTATTTGATTTTTTGTCGCCGAAGTATGCTACAGGATCCTGCCCTTGCTGGAAACCCTCAGAGATGAGGCAGATTGCTCGCCCCTTCTGCCTTTTGGCGGGTGACTGTGCCATGATGATAATAGATCAGGGACCACCTCGCATTTAGTCAGTGTAATCACCTTGCCGAGACATCACCTTGCCGACCAAGGTCCGTATAGTTAAAGCTATGGTTTTCCCAGTAGTGATGTATGGCAGTGAGAGCTGGACCATAAAGAAGGCTGATCACCAATGAATTGATGCTTTTGAATTATGGTGCTGGAGGAGACTCTTGAGAGTCTCATGGACTGCAAGAAGATCAAACCTCTCCATTCTGAAGAAAATCAGCCCTGAGTGCTCAGTGGAAGGACAGATCCTGAAGCTGAGGCTCCAGGACTTTGGCCACCTCGTGAGAAGAGAAGACTCCCTGGAAAAGACCCTGATGTTGGGAAAGATGGAGGGCACAAGGAGAAGGGGACGGCAGAGGACGAGATGGTTGCATAGTGTTCTCGAAGCTACCAGCATGAGTTTGACCAAACTGCGGGAGGCAGTGGAAGACAGGAGTGCCTGGCGTGCTCTGGTCCATGGGTCAGGAAGAGTCGGACACGACTAAACGACTGAACAACAACAAACCCTCCTTTTGCAATTGTGACTTACATTTACACAAAGGTTTAAAAGAAATAAAATAACAGAGGCATCTTAAGCCCGGGATCTGGCTCTCTTTGGCTGGCTTGCAACCTAGTACTGGAAAGTGACAGCCAGCCACTTCCAAAGGCGGAGGGGGGAGCAAACAAATGGGGATCCCTGAAAGAGAGAAGGCTCAAGTGCAAAGAACATACCTCAGTTGCTCCCCTGCGATCATGACCTCAGCTCGGTGATGCTTCTCCGTTGCTTTTTGCTTCAGGATGCTGCCGAGGTTTTCCATCCCGTCCGGTCCTTGAAAGCTGTTTGGGGAAGCCGGGTGGGAGGACAGCTCCATCTCGCAGGCTTCTTAGCAGCTAGGGCTGGCTTCCTGCCACCGGTGGCTGCTTCTCTGCCTTTCTGTTTACAGTGGAGTTTCCTGCCAGAGTCCTCTTGTTAGCACTTCATTTGGAAGAGCCAGTTCAGGCTGCTTGAAGTTTCCTGGGAAAGCAGAGAGAGAGAGGGGGAGAGGGAGAGAGGGAGAGAGAGAGAGAGGCGGGACCATACTGAAGGAGGTTGAAGGAGGCCTGCCCTCCACTTTCCCACAGATGCTGCTCCACCTTAAGTTGGAAACAGGTAGGTACACAGGAAGTGAAGAACAGATCCCACTCCCCAGAGAAGAAGGGCAACACCTAAGGTCTTTTGGGGGGTGGGATGCGGGTGGCGCTGTGGGTTAAACCACAGAGCCTAGGACTTGCCGGTTAGGTCGGTGGTTCGGGTCCCAGGAACGGGGTGAGCTCCCGTTGCTCGGTGCCTGCTCCTGCCAACCTAGCAGTACAAAAGCACGTCAAAGTGCAAGTAGATAAATAGGTACCGCTCTGGCGGGAAGGTAAACGGCGTTTCTGTGCACTGCTCTGGTTCGCCAGAAGCGGCTTAGTCATGCTGGCCACATGACCTGGAAGTTGTACGCCAGCTCCCTTGGCCAATAAAGCGAGATGAGCGCCGCAACCCCAGAGTCGGTCACGACTGGACCTAATGGTCAGGGGTCCCTTTACCTTTACCTTTAAGGTCTTTTTATTATTATTATTGGTTTTCACATATTACATTACAATACAGATGTACCAAAGCCAACACCATTTCTTCCCCATCCCCCCATACATTTACATTTATATTTCCTCAATCCATCATATTATTCTTTTCTCCCTCCTCCCACTTCCCTCCGCCCCCACCCGATTTCCTCCACATTACACAATTTACAATAATCTTTGCATTCTACAATCGTCTCAAATCATCTATATATTCTTATTATCTTTCCTTACTAATTTTTCTTCCATCCAGTACTTCACATTTTAATCTAGGCATATTAACGTATCTTTTTTTGAGCAATATTTTGCCATATATTCATCAAAACATTTCCACTCCTTTTTTAATTCTTGATTCGACTGATTTCTTATTATAGCAGTTAATTTTGCCAAAATTAAATATTCGTTTAGTTTATAAATCCATTCCTCCTTTGTGGGTATAGTTTGTGACTTCAACCTAGCAGCAATCACTATTCTAGCAGCTGTACTTGCATATAGGAAAATTCTCTCTCCACCCCCCCCCCCGGTGGTATCTCTTCATCTAGCAATCCAAGGAGATATGTCTCTGGATTCTTTGTTCTTAAGAGCAGTCCTACACCAAAGGATCCATCAGCCTCCTTGATGCCGCTGGGAAGTCCTGCAAGCAGTGCATGAAAGACAACAGACCTTCCCCACGGCTGCTCTTCCCCAACAAAGAGGTAAATTGCCCCGGATATGGAGGTTCCATATAGCCAATCAGTCACTGTGTCTATACCTTCATGTGAGAAAGCAGTGAGGTGTATGGTCACGCCACTCTTAGAGGAGGGATCCTAAAGCCATCAATTCTTTTTGTGGTGGCTTTGGCTTAACCCCAGAATTCTCTCCCCCCCACACACACTTGCTCAAACCAAACCTAAGTACAGTGGTACGTCGGGTTACATACGCTTCAGGTTACATACGCTTCAGGTTGCAGACTCCACTAACCCAAAAATAGTACCTCGGGTTAAGAACTTTGCTTCAGGATGAGAACAGAAATCGTGTTCCGGTGGCGCGGCTGCAGCGGGAGGCCCCATTAGCTAAAGTGGTGCTTCAGGTTAAGAACAGCTTCAGGTTAAGAACGGACCTCCGGAACGAATTAAGTACTTAACCCAAGGTACCACTGTACATTGCTCCTATGCGTCCAGACCTTATTTCTCCCTTCGCCACTGCTGTTACAACCAGCAAAATTTGGATCTTAGGTGCAGGGACCCATATTCTGGCTTGCAGGGCTTTCCAAAATGCTTTTTTTATATATATATACATCAATTGCACGGTACAGACACAAATTAAGTGGGAACAAGGGGGGGGGATGGGGACAAGGCATGTGCAGTACGTGATGTTATCTGAGCAAGGTTTTCAATCACCAACCTAATATAGCAGCCCTAATAAACCAGATGCCCAGCTTAATTGCATGAGTAGCTGTGAGAAGTGGTCAACATTTTCCTTGCCAGAGCAGCAGCAATGAGACATGAACAGCCTCCATCAGCAGCGACAAAGGAAGCAGGTTGTTAATCCACATCTGTAAGGCTTTGGGAAATCTGAAAATGATGCATCCTATCTATCTATCTATCATCTATCTCTCTATCTCTCTATCTATCATCATCATAATAAAAAATTATTTATATCCCGCCCTCCCCAGCCGAAGCCGGGCTCAGAGCGGCTAACAACAATAAAAGTAACACAGCATTCTAAAATCAATTCATTCTAAAATCAATTCAAAATCAAATTAATGGCAACCATTGGGCTAGAGTTCTGTGAGGATTACCAGAGGAGGAGGTCAGACCGTGCCTTGGCCAAAGGCCAGGTGGAACAGCTTGGTCTTGCAGGCCCTGCGGAAAGATGTCAAGTCCCGCAGGGCCCTAGTCTCTTGTGACAGAGCGTTCCACCAGATTGGAGCCACAGCCGAAAGAGTCCTGGCTCTGGTCGAGGCCAGCCGAACCTCCCTGTGGCCCGGGACCTCCAAGATGTTTTTGTTTGAAGACCGTAAGGTCCTTCGTGAGACATACCAGGAGAGGCGGTCCCGTAGGTACGAGGGTCCTATCGATCTATCTATCATCTATCTATCATCTATCTATCATCTATCTATCTATCTATCTATCTATCTATCTATCTATCTATCTATCTATCATCTCTATCTATCATCTCTATCTCCTGGCTTTCCTTTCGAATGAAACGAATCAGCTAGACATTCTTGCTGGCCTTAGATTCTGAGTGGCACATATGGGAGAAGATGGTCCTGCCTCAGTCCGGGCTAGGGCATGTATTTTGATACTGAACTTGGTGACCAGATCTTATAATACAACTTGCCAGAGCTGCCAGACATCCCACCATGATGGGGTTCTTGGATTTAATAGCTTATTTGCAACAATTTTATCCTAGAATCCTAGAAGTGTAGTGCTGGAAGGGATCACAATGGTCATCTAGCGCAATTCAAGAATCACAAGCTAAAAGTGGCCACCCATCTTTAAAACATCCTTTAAAAACCTCCAATGAAGGAGAGAGCCCACTACCTTTCAAGGGAGTCCATTCTAATAGCTCTTACCGCCAGACAGTTCTTCCTGATGCTTAGTCAGAATCTCCTTTCTCATAATTTGAATCCACTGGTTTGGAAACTACCAGGGCAGCAGAAAACAAGCTCGCACCCTCTTCCATGTGACAGCCCTTCAGCTATTTGAAGATGGCTATCATATCACCTCTCAGTCTTCTCTTCTCCAGGCTAAACACACCCAGCTCCCTCCGTTGTTCCTTGTAATGCTTGGTTTCCAGACTCTCTCTCATTTTGGTTGCTTTCTCCCACACAAGCTCCCTCCTCAATACACACACACTGCTTTCTTGAGCTCCACATGGCCTACCCTCTCACACACCAATTAAAATAACTAAATAAATAAATAAACCCCATGCCAAATCTCCTAACACACACCTTCCAAAACTCACCTTTTTCAAAAGGTGGAAAGAGCATCTCTCCAAGTTTGTGACCTACCCCTATACATGGAGCAGATTCTCAACACAAGAGGTTTCAACGAAAGGAACGCCCGTGTTTAGGACAGTAAGATGAACCAGGAGTGCATTCTATTTCTTCTCTTATTACATCAGAGTTCAACAGGCTGCAAATCTTCCAGAGGAGTAGGCATGCTTGCTGTATTTGCTGCAATAGACTAACAATAATACGCCATAAATTTCCAGGCACTAGAGTTCGCTTCATCAGAAAGCTTTATGCTGTTCACCTTTAAGGTGTTGCATGACTTTTAGATTGCTTTCACTGCTAAAAAACTTTTCAGACTTTCCTCTATTTCCAAACTTAATAAAAGCGCACCCTCTGGTGGGTAGAAAGAAAAACGACAGTTTCAGACAAACCATGATAGTCCCCGCAAACCATCTCATGCCCTTTCTTCTTCACAAGTAGATGCAGCTCCAGATTCTGCCAGAAATAATTGTTATTCCCATGCAAACTGCCATTTCACTGGAGAGCCAGACAGAAGCAGGGCAAAGCAAAAAAAACCCCCAGATTCAGGAGTAGTGAGAGGTGATTCATATGGTTTCCAACAAGCAGCAAATTCCAGCTGAAGCCTTCCAGACCATGTCCAAAACTGGCTGCAGGAGCCTGAGCCTATTCTAAAAGCCTTTACTCTCGAGGAGCGTTATTATTTGCAACGAGCCCTTTACTCGGGAGTCACACAGGGACGTTAAGATTCTCAGGCAGAAACTCCACTGTCAACCAGCTGTCTGGTGAAAATGCTTTTGAGGTCCAAGGTGACTTCACCTCCCCACAATGTGAAACTGAATTCCTTGATTCACACACCACTCATTCATTTTTTTGCTGCAAAACATGCACACGGCAACCAGAACACGCTCAGGAAAACATGCCACACATCCTGTGATCCAACAGGGCTAAAACAGCACACATCTTTACTGTATTTTTCGCTCTATAGGGCGCACCGGACCATAGGGCGTACCTAGTTTTTTGGGGGGGAAATAAAGAATTTTTTCCCCTTTATTTCCCGCTGGCTGTCTTGGCTTCCTCTTTAGCCACGCACAACCACTCCAGCCAAGAGAGGCTGTGTGTGGCTTTGGCAGAAGCCAAGACAGCGAGCGGGATGGATCCCGCTCGCTGTCTTGGCTTCCTTTTTAGCCGCAGGGCTGGGGCGGGGGAAGCCCGAGCTTCCCCAGACCCCAGAACGGGTCCGTGAGTGGCGGTGAGGTTGCGCGCAACCTCGCCTTCGCTCCCGGAGCTTGCTGCTGTCTGCAAGCCTTCTGAGCCCGGCAGGCACTCCTGCCGCGCTCCAAAGGCTTGCAGATAGCTTCCTGAAGCCTGGAGAGCGAGAGGGGTCGGTGCACACCGACCCCTCTCGTTCTCCAGGCTTCAGCGAAAGCCTGCATTCGCTCCATAGGACGCACACACATTTCCCCTTCATTTTTGGAGGGGGAAAAGTGCGTCCTAT